ATCATACTTAACAGCTGTTATCAACTGCATAGGAAACGCACAGCATTTATTATCCTGATGACGCTCTCATTATAGACTACAAATTGCTTAAATATAATACATGGCACAAAACTCACAATACCTAGCTTCCGCATTTGCTTGCATATCGTTCCATTACATTTTCATACATGCTACTTACTTTCTGACACATTGCATATGCAAATAGAAAAGATGGAAAAAGCAGTCTGCATTGAATGACAAACTAACAGCTTCCATGTTTGACTAGGTCTTCAGAAACATCAAATTATAAGCTTTTACCGTTGCAGGAGGTCATCAGCAACATATTTCCAAATGTCAGTACATCTTTTTAATATATATATATATATATACTGATATTTTTGTTTTAGCTAATATTGTTTTGGCCAAACTTTTTACTATATACCAATAAAAGCATCCGAGCTAACCGAGGAGCCCTAACATCAGGTCCGGTGTTTCGATCGTGTTAATGGAAAGTTTTTAATTGTTAAGGTTTATTCATGTACACACCGTGTTGATTGTATTATTGGACCACACACCGATTGTCAGTTGTAAATTCCAGTGTGAATTTTAGCATTCGTATTTTTGTATAACTTATTATTCTCAGTTTTAGACTAAATTCTAGTAAATTTCTGTTTCACATGTATGTGTAGTAAGGGGTTTGTGAATTTAAGCCCCAGTGTTTTGTTAATTTAATTTTTGTGTGGAATGATATTACTAAAGGAGGTTTTCGTTGTATATGTTGTGGATTTAATAAATGCACCACAAAACCTGTTTCCAAATTTTATCAGCAATACAATCAAAAAAATGGAAAAGTACCTACTCTAAATGTGACGTAAATCAGATGTGGATACCAAAATATTCCGTTTGAGCACATACAATCATAATCCTCGTGTAATAGTATAAAAATGACTTCTATACCTTTGTAAACTTTAAGACAGATTGAAAGAATTAGTCAAACTTTGTTTCATAACAAATAAAGGTCAAACATCATACCAAGATCTTGTTTTAGGATGTGAAAAATTATGCTTTGCAAAAACCACTCTGATTCAAGCTAGAAGTACTATAAGACTGAAATCATCAGGATGCTCTATTTCTTTATTGACAAAATGTTTGTTGCTTTTGATGGACTTGTTTTTCACTACACAGTCGGCATTCTTATAGGAAACAACTGTAAACCTTTTCTCGTCGACTTGTTCCTCTATTTGTACGAGGCAGACTTCATGCATGCAGGGGCTTTCCATATCTTGTCTTGACTTACTTCTATAAACTGACGACGTGGTCTGTTTAGAACTACACTTTCAAAATAAGAGATGATTTCAATTCCCCATTGTAAACTTCCATTTCTATGTAGCATCATATCAGCAACGCCTGCAATATTAAGTACATTTCTGGCCATGTTAATTTCGGGGAAATTATTTTGTACCCCAAATTTAATTATACATCAGTATAGTAAATATTCTTAATTATCAGTTCCAATTATTAATTTATTTTATAAGTAAGCATGGGATTATTTTGCATTCTGGGCTCGACCGAAGGAGAATTAATCCTATATCGTGCTGCTGGTATCCACCGCAGCCTAGACCTTGCTGCTGGTATCCACCGCAACCGACACCCCGCTGCTGGTATCCACAGCAGCCGACACCCTGTTGCAGGTATCCACCGCACCCTATAGTTAATAGTTTATTTTTAGAATAATGGTTCAAATTGTTGTTAATGTTAGGTAGATTTTTGTAAAGTGAGTAACCTCCGAGAAAGCCAAAACATAGATACATTTATTGTTTACTATATTGTTGTATTTTTATATGTTGTCATGTAGTTTTAGCAATTATATAATGGAAGTAGTATAGTTTGTTTTTTATTAGTTTAGATAATACATATATATATATATCACTATGGTATGTTATGCTGTTTGTTGTTTTGACCCGGTTTTTTGTTAACGTATCAGTCTGTCGTCTTAAATATAAAGCGAGGTTTAGAAGGAACCGGAATTACTATAGACAATAGCTTTTAATAATTGTCATTTAGAGAACACGTGTTCTTATACATATAAAATTGAACGTTTGGGATTGTCGTCGTTTGTCTTTGGTTAGCCGTTTTTTTCAAGTCACTTATATATAATAGCTAAAACATGATTGTATAAAATGAAATATATCATCGAGTTGATACGTCTTTGTATTTTTAGATGATTGTGACCCTGAAATAATTTAGCTTGCCACCTGATAGCTTTTTTTTGCCTAACATATTGTTTTGCATATAGTTTGTTCTTGTGTTGTGCCGTTATACCACTGTCCCAGATTAGGGGAGAGTTGGCGCCTTCAATGATGTTTAACCCCGCCATATTCTTTATGTGCCTGTCTCAAGTCAGGAACCTGTAGTTCAGTGGTTGTCGTTGTTTCGTGTCCGTCATATTTGTTTTTCGTTAATTATTTTGTTATAATTTAGGCCGTTGGTTTTCTCAATTGAATTGTTTCATATTTTTTATGTCGGGCTGTTATAGCAGACTATACGGTATGGGTTTTTCTCATTGTTGAAGGCCGTACGGTTGCCTATAATTGCTTACATCCACCACATTTGAACTTTGTTGGATAGTTGTCTCATTGGCAATCATATCACATCTCCTTATTTTTATATATGTTTTAAAAAACTATGTTTACCAAAGAAATGATGGGATATAATTTCAGTACTCTTTTTTCAATTTTTTGCCTTATTACTTTTTGGTTCAATGTGACTGGAGGGTTCGTTTTACAAATCGGTCGGGTTACAAAAGGTTAATTTCGGTTGTTCCTAATGAACGTCTACACGCAACAAATACATTGGGGTGTTTAAACTGATAGACACGATAACATTTTCAGTGCAGGTCACATTTTTTTTGTATTATTCTATACCACTGATGAAATAGAGAAGGTTTATCTTGTGTGAATAGTATGACAATATCTTTCTTGAAACACTAAAAATAAGAGATCACCCCGAATTAACATAAGGCTTAACTTGTTTTCGAAATACTTGATGTTCATGACATAATATTTAAACAAATCGAATCGCGACTTCAATAGTACAACGATTACAATTTAATCTTTTGTTTGAAATTACGTAAAACAGCAAATACCGGCATTTTAGATTGATATCTAAATACTATCAGTCTATTCAATTTCCATATTCTTATTACATTTCTTTTTTTGTAAATTTCCAATCTAAACCTTCCGAGTTCTAAGTATGCACAATTGTTTGATTTATTTATTTTAAGTAGTGAGTGTTTACATACATGTAGCCCTTTTCACAAAAAAACTGAAGCCCGCCTCCGGGTGAGGATTTTCTCGCTGTGTTGAAGACCCAAAGATGGCCTTGGGCTGTTTTCTGCTCTTTGGTTGGGTTGTTGTCTCTTTGACACATTCCCCGTTTCCATTCTCAATTTTATTACTCTTGTCAACTTATATTGGTTGTTTTTAAATTACAATAAAATGTTTATGACTTACGAGTATTTTTCCTGGTAATATTTTTTGTGAAATAGATCGCTGGCTTTTAACATTTTGTATATGAGCGTTCCTGATGAAGGTAAATCTGGAAAAGCGCTTCGGACGCTCAAAGTTTAAAAACTTCTATTTTATAAATGTATACGTATTCTTATCATGCTAATAATGTGATTGTTTTTTCTAAAATGGGACCAGGAAATCTCTATTTACTTTTAGCAACAGAATACGGAATATACATGTTGTCATTTGAAATATTCGTATGCATGATGATACCGATAGTCCTTTAGCAACATAGTTAAAAGATTGAAGGTCAGCATATAGTAAAACTGTTCATCTAAATTAGATTCAGCATTTTCTTATTAATTCCGGACTCATTTCTTTAAGCTAATCCAAATGTCTTGGTAGCAAATATTTTTCGCTTGGTTTAAATTTTAATACAATGTAAATAAATTCATACCAGAATGATTGATATTGGTACTAACTGAGGTTGTTCAAATCCAAAATAAACAAATGCAAATACTATTCAAATCGATGGAGGATAATATTAAACTTTTCTGAGAGAAATACATGGACTACAAATCGCATAAACTGCGTAGAATCACTATACATCATACTCTCACAAATGAATGTAATAAATGAGTGATTCTGAATGTACGAGGTCTCAGTATAATTAAAGTTGGTTATACGAATGGATTGCTATATTGATGTTACTGTTTGTTAACTCAAACCTTTCAAAGACTTACTTTCAATTTCCAGATTTCTCCATAAACTTGGCTGTAGGCTTTACTTGTAAAATTCATCACATGAAGAATCATCTCGATGAACGTGTTCAGTTTATTATCAATCATATTGATTAAAATGTCAAGGGACAACTTTTTCGTTTGTTGAAACAATTTCCTTATGTGGTATAGATAAGATAGCGACCATTATCGGATGTATCCCCCTACACCAATGCCGACCGAATACATAAAAACAATTATGTTTTTAAAATTCACCTTTTTAAAGATCACATAAAAACTATTGACAATTCATGAAAATCTTGGATACTAGTATTAATTTGTCTTGTCTATGTAGCTTCATTTGGGGTACGGGTGGGGATGAAGGTAAAAATAACAAGTACATGCATTTTCAGAAGTTGCTGTTGTCTTCTCGTGAAATAAACCCTCAAATTTCACTATTATGTAAACATCTAACTTCAATAAAAATCTTCCATCATTCCATGTATTAAAGATTTGTATTTCAAGACAAGCTTTTTTCATAAGTAGTAATTTGTGTTTTGGAGAAAAAGAAGACAATCAAAATTTTTAAATTTATCAAATTATACCTATTTCATTATCATCTTATTATAATGTAGAATAGACTGAAAGTTCGTATAACGAATATTGGTCATTGGTCATTGAAATCTGGCAAATAAATACGATAGAGAGTTGTCTCATTGACAGTCGTCGTCTTCTTTTTATGTGTCCTATTGTTCAAGTTAAAAAAGAACATTACTACAGAGAGTAGTGAGTAAAACGTTCATTTTTTTTTTATTAAAAATTAAAGGTTTTGAGTAATTAAAGTCCGTGCGAACTATCTACATACAATACTTGCTACAGACATCTAAGAAAACTTTCAATGAAATTTATTTGAAGTGATGATATTTTATTCATGTTACAACTTAAGATTGGCAACATCGTCATTGTGAATATCTTCATTTTGGTAAAGTTATATTGTACGCCATAATCAACTGTTTAAGGACATTAGGCTTCGAAAGTTCTAATCCGTTTATAACAAGATTAAAACACAAAACTCCGAAAATCAGACATAAAATTGCAGTGTTAATTCTTCTAGCACGTATGGGCAGCTTAGATCTTTTCTTTGCACCAGCATCGTCAGCAGCTGATAGGACTGGCTGCGGTTCCATATTAGTGACCTCCACTGCCATGGCCCCATCATCAGAAAGTAACGCATTATCACGACTTGCCTGTTTAAGCTGAAGTAATGCCCCTTCTAAATATAATAACATTATTATTAATATTCCTATCGCCACCTGCATAAGTAATGATAATGAAATCATGACAATCGCTATTAATGGTCTTGTTCCTACTCCTAGATCTCCGTCTAAGACAGATTTAATCTGCGCGACATTTGATAAGAAAAGTGCAACATCCAGCATTCCTTGTGAAATTGCTTTTCTTGCATTATGTCTGGTTCGTTGAATGTTCTGAAAAGCAAATTATAAGTTATAAGATCATTTGGTACATTACTCCTGTGTTGCGATAAGCGGGAGTAATTCAGCATATAGGTTTTATAATGAACGGTTAACATATAAGTTATATACTCAAAACAGTTTAAATATCATTTAGTAGATGGAATAAATAATTTTAATCAGTCAAACATTGAAAATGAAACTAGAGGCTATCAGTAGCCCGAATAACCTGACACTATAGCAGACACTTAAGAAACAAGCTAATTTAGAAGCAATTATTCGAGTAAAACACTTTCGTTTATTGTTTTGTCATATATCCGCTAGTTTTCTTTTTTTGATTATTTCACATTTTGGAAAGTCGGAGCCCTCTACAGCTGACTATACCAGCTGAGTTTGCCCATCGTTGAAGTCCGTTATATGACCCATAGTTTCTTAAAACCATTTCATTTGTACTCTGGTGGGTATTTATATCATTGGCAATCGTACTAAATCTCCTTATCTATTTATTCCTACATCGTTTGTTTTTTCCTCCTCATTTCATTTCATCTCTACAATATAAAGCGATTGAAACTTTTCAAGAGAAATTACTCTTCAAGGAATATTGGACAATTTCGGCCGATAAAGATCTACTTGAACTGATCATTTTTGCATTTTAAACTTTTCTTTTCTTTACTCAGTTTTGTTTTTATATTACCTGAAAACGATAAAGAAACGCGTTTCAGGGGGAAACAAGTTTCGAGGAGACGTCAGATAGTTTAACTTTTTCCAGAGATTGTGAAACTAGTTACAATAATCAAATGAATTAATCTCAGGAACAATAGCTATGAAAGGATTCACCGGACACTTTTGACCCAAGGGAGACTCTTGTAGACATGCTGATCATTTCGAAACCGCCAGATTTTCTTTCTCTCATATTCTTTTTTTTTTTTTTTTTTTTTTTAAATTTAAGCCAAAGATGAATGTTCTTTTAGCAACGGTGGTCATGTTCGTTGACGAATCAAATTCCAATTTTCAATTTGTATTCGAACCAAAGCGAAAGTATATATGTTTAAAATAGTTGTGTGATCAACAGAAATGGAAAGACAAAAAACTGTAAAAAGTGTTTCACCCCTTTACGGTAAAATTTTCCTTCTCGAATAATAAAACATCATCAAAGATACCAGATCTATTATCTAATCCGCCAGACGGCGTTTCGTTCAATAAGACTCATTGGTTAATGGTGCTCGATAAAGATAATTGTAAGGCCAAATCAATCATGAAGTTGACCGAAGAGCATCAAAAAAAAAAAAATCCAAGAAGTATTCGGCTAATTGCATGATTTAAAATAAATCAAAAGCGATATTTGTCATACAAAAATGAGATACAATGATGCAATGTAGCAGAGGTAATGTCTTAATTTAAAGAAAACTATATGAAATTTATTTGAGATAGGGAAATTAGAAAATCTGAAGGAAAGTAGAAAAAAAATATGTAAAACTTCAAGAACAAGATCTCCCGGTTAGTATTAGTTCACCTTAATTGTAATTATCAAATGGACATATTTTACTAGAAAAATGTTCTGGGTTATTTATCGATAACTTAATAAAGGATAAACGTCTATGTTATACTTTATTCAAAACAGAACTTAAATTTGAAAATTATATTTCAATTTTATCGTTAAATAATGCACTGAAACTATGTAAATTTAGATGTGGCAATCACCGTTTGCCAGTGGAGACAGGGAGGTGGCAAAATGTTCAAAGACACGAGAGACTATGCCACCTTTGTGAATCTACTGACATCGGCGATGAATTCCATTATGTAATGTCTTGTCCTTTTTTAAAAAAAAAGAACGATATAAATACTTACCACACTATTGTTGTACAAATGTTAATATTCTTAAATTTAAAAATGTATTCACTACAGTCAATATTGTCTTACTAGAAAAATTGTGTAGATTTATAAACTATATATCAGTGAAAGTCTGTCCTCCTGGTTAAATTACATTTATTTATGTATATTTCACACATGCAAAATATGTTGTATTTTGTTTATATTTTCATCTCTGTAACTATGTTATTTAGTTAATGAGAATAAAGATCTATCTATCTATCTATCTATCTATCTATTATAAATAGTTAGTCAAAGTTGGACATTAGCATACAGATGATCGAATCAAAACATACTTTTGTATTAGCCGCAAATATATTCTTTTATTTTTGGCGCATTTGGTACAAACAATTCAGAAAATAGATTGGTGCAAATTAGTTGTAGTGCAAATGATTCTTTTATTGAAACGGAAGAAGAACGTTGTCGTAATTTATGTTTTGTAATATTTTTTTAGAAAAAGGATACATGTTAAAAAATGATCAATTATTAATGAAAATAAGCAACATACCGCCAACACCGTCGCCATTTTCCCTTCACTTTAAATTTTTCAAATGATAAAAGCACAATATCTCGGTTCATTTCACATGTTACTCATACGTGCTAACCTTTAAGTTTAAAACATACAATTGTTTCATTTCATGTCTTCTCAGGTAATTTTTTAGTGAAAACAAAACCCACCATTAGAGCTCTTACAACTTAGGATGAAATTTATAACAAAAAACGCAGGCTCAATTACAGAACGAATAAATCAATAAAAGGCAGATAAGGTCATCATAGTTCTACCCTAACTATTTATTGGACTGAATTGAGTTGGAAAACGTTAATCCCCACAGATGATAGATAAATTTATAGCTTGAATTTAATACAAGTAAATGATAGACTTGAAATAGAAAATATTTGAAACTTGAATAATACCAAAATTGTAAGCAAATTACAGATTTGAAAGTGAATATATCACGAATGAGAATGAAAAATAACTATTTTTAGTATGACAGTGCATTTTTATGGCACCTTTTTACGTCTTGACAATATTTCTAAGATTTATGTGTATGCTACTCGTTGTCTTTTATTTAACTGACTATCTACTGTAAAGGCATCAAACTCTATAAGTCATTATTCTACTATAAACAGCAGTGTATCGGTAAAGCAAAGTTGAGTTCTGTTTAATTTTTCTCGACGAAATCATTCATTTTTCGTAAGGCAAAAATTCTAGTGCATCTCTTCGCCAATGACTGAAATTTACTCGCTTACTCAATGGAAACGTCGAATGAACAAGCTCATGAAATCCATTGTGATTATAAGAGCCATCTTTTGATTAAGTACTACTTTTGTCATGGTAAAATACTATCTTACATTTTTTTTGTTAGGAACTGGCTAAACCACTTTACCAAACTGCCTTGCATCACTAGTATGGCTTTGGATCCTCAATTGGAATTAAAAAAAAATCTTCTTTTTCTTCAATAGAGAATTAGCCTGATAGGGTTCTTAAGGAATCTTAACTATTAATGCTTTTCGTGTTATGAGCGAGACAAACGTTTGTGTCCTTTCCAAGTTACAGAATACACATTCGAAAACCCACGCTTGAGGTGGGGAAAGTCGTATACTTAAGTCTAAGACTAGGATCAAATGTCTATACCACGGTGTCCCATTGGGATATTTATATGTATACTGGAAAAACAAATGACATAGTTGCCTTGGTTATTCGGGAATAACAACATTCTGTATGCGTCTTTTCTAAGTCTGGAGCCTGTAATTCAGTGTTGGTCGATGATTTCTGTCCGTCGTATTTGTTTTCGTTTATTTATTTTGTCATAAATCAGGCCGTTGTTTTTTTTCGCTTGAATTGTTTCACTTTATTTCATATCGAGGCTTTTTATATCTGACTATTTATACAGTATGCCTTTTGTTCGTTGTTGAAGACCGTACAGTGACCTATTGTTGCTAAAATTCACGTCATTTGGACTGTTGGATGATGGTTATACCATTGGCAATCACGACCAAAAGTGTAAAAAGCCAAATATATTAAACGTTTAAGATAATACTCTAATTAGAACAATCAACACCGTCCAGGGACAAATATATTGGGGGAGTTGCAGAGTTCTCGAATTTTTTCCCCTCTGATGGTCCTTGAAGAAAATCTGCTGGTCCTCACTATCATTTCTATTGCAAAATACCAAAATTGTATTTGTCATTCGCAAAATTTTGGTGGTCAAAACCTGCGGACCACCACTTTTCGAGAACTCTGGAGTTTTAATTGCAGCACAATAAACCGTCCAGGGTCACCAAGTCTGGGGGAGTTGCAACCTTGATTTCTGCATAATAAACCGTCCAGGGTCACCTATTCTGGGGGAGTTGCAACCTTAATTTCTGCACAATTAACTGTCAAGGGTCACTCATCCTTGAGGATTTGCAACCTTGATTTCTGCACAATAACCGTTCAGTGTCATCTTTATTCTTTGGGAGTTGCAACCTTAATTTCTGCAAAAATAAACCGTCCAGGATAACCTTTTCTGGGGAGTTGCAACCTTGATTTCAGTACAATAAACCGTCGAGGGTCACCTATTCTGGGGAAGTTTCAACCTTAATTTCTGCACAATAAACCGTCCAGGGTCACTTATTCTGTGGAAGTTGCAACTTTAATATCTGCACAATAAACCATTCAGGGTCACATATTCAAGGGGAGTTGCAACGCTAATATCTGCACAATAAATCGTATAGGATCACCTATTTTGGGGGAGTTGCAACCTTAATTTCAACAACATAAACCGCCCAGGGTCAACTTTTATGGGGGAGTTACAATCTTAATTTCAACAAAATAAACCGTCGAGGATCACCTATTCTGGGGGAGTTGCAACCGTCCAGGGTAACCTTATCTAGGGGGAGTTTAGACCTTAATTTCAGCACAATAACATAACTAAAACATAAATTTAAAATTTACAAACAAAATGTAACATTTAAATCTATATCATACCGAAGCTCTGGCTACTGGGTCGAAGGAACCTCCAGGGATTGATACACCATTATCAGCGATACCAACTCGGTGGTAGTTTTAAATGATCAAAGATAAAGATATACTTTGTCTAATACTATAACCAAACATACCGAAAAAAAAATATATATACGTAGATGTTGAGTATTCGTAAATGAGATAGCACCCAAAAGTACAAAACCAATTTAGATGTCAGCATACCGTTTAAAAAGAAGAAAAACTCTAATTGTAAATTGCATCGACACCAAATATATTATCAGAGACCACAAAAGATCTTTCATCAACACCAAACTTCTTAATAGGCTTAAACATTAAATTGTAAACAGACAAATTCATGATCATGTGGCGGTTTAAAGGTGTAAATTAAATCTTCCCGTTTCATATCTCAGAACGCACATTTTAAAAGTCGTTGAGAACACTGCCACTCTTCCTGGTTTTTTGTTTGATTCGTGTTGCTTAACCTTTCGTTTTCTGTGTTGGGTTTTGTGACTTGATGTTTGTCGTTCGTGTTCTTAGACATTGATTGTCCAATTGGTATATGCATGTTTAACTTGTGTAGGGAAAGCAACACATTCTTGATCACTGACATAAAAACCATGTATCCCTTCATTCTATGGTAGCCCAATGAGCTCGGTCGCTGAACTGCCCTCTTACTATGACTTAGCAATACTAGAAAATTAATACATTTATAAGAGAGAGCCGAAAGATACCAAAGGGACATTCAAACTATTAAGTAAAAAATAAACTGACAACGCCATGGCTAAAAAAGAAAAAGACAAACAAACAAACAACAGTACACAAAACACAACATAGAAAACCAAAGACTGAGCAACACAAACCTCACCAAAAGCTGGGGGATCTCAGGTGCTCCGGAACGGTAAGCAGATCCTGCTCAACATGTAGCACCCGTTGTGTTGATCATGTAAGTACAAACCCGGTAAAAAGTCTAGTTCGGTAGGTCACACTCGGGGAAAGGGGGATTTGTAATTACGACAATTGGAACATATCCGCTATCATCTGTGAAACGGTCAACCAACTCGTGATGGCGTCCGTATAATTTACGAAGGGATGGCTTCAACTTCACCACTTGGAACTCTTGGTTCAAAAGTTTCCTTGTGAACAGCAACCCTATATCAAGGAAATCATGATAGGAAATACAAGCCCTGGAATATCTTATCAACTGGGAGATATATAATCCGTATGCAGTATAAAGAAGTCTATTCAGTCAGATAATAAAGATTTTATGGGTAATATTCCTTAACTTGTCTGCTAAATAATGATAAAGTATCCATAAAAAGCTTTATGTAAAATGCCATTTTGTACTATAAATTTCTGCAAGTGGAGTAATACTTCAATGATTGATATACATAAATATATATATATATATACATTATGTTTGTAGCAAAAGTAAGCTTAATGTAAAAGAATTTTTAACCAATTGATGAGATATAGAAATTAGTGATTACAATCTATTATGTTCATTAAAATCTGAGAAGTCATTTCAAACATTCTCACAATGAATTAAATAAGAAATGTGAAATCTGGATTGTTTTAGAGAAATCAGTTAGTGGATCTGTGGGTCTTTTAAAGGATCAATCACACAAAGGGGAAGACCATTAGTCACTAAAGGGTGATACAAACCAAAATCTGATTTTAAACGAAACATTTCTTTTGAAGTTTTAAGCAGACATATCTACATATATTTCCTAATATTACTAGTATGTGATTTAAGTATGTAAACTTTATATTTTAAAACAATAAAAGCACCAGTATGCACAAGGTCACGTATATCGGAAAAAAACACTGACAAAAAGCATTCGAGCTAGCGCTCAGACATATTAACTGCATCTTTTCTTCTTATACACTTAAATTTGACTTAAAACTACAGATTTTAATTTGATTGTTTTTATTCCCCTGATAATAGAGCTGATATTATGAAGGTGTTAATGCCTTTATATTCATATAACATGTGTCTGCATTCTTTTTTTCCAATAGTAACTTGCATGTATATCAAAACCGAAATATTATTTTAGACGAAACATATTTTTTGAAGTTTTAGCAGACATACTTGGAATGTTTTTCATTGATCATCTTGAAATTGTAATATTATAAGCTTTAAGCCATTGTTTAAGAGTGTTTGGTTTTGAAAGTTCTAAGCCATTAATGATCAGATTTAAGCAGAAAACTGAAAATATAAAAAATAATATAGCAGTGTTTATTCTTCTGGCTCGAGCTTTGAGTTTTTGTCTTTTTTTGAAAACATAAGTGTCCCCTGTATGATCAGTAGCCATTATAGGTATTGGATCTGGTTCCAAAAGAGTTGATTCTTCTGTGATATCGTCCTCAGCAGGAAGCATCGTACGTCCACGTTCCATGTCTCCGAGCTCTATTAAGGCGCCTTCAACATCCAGTAACAGTATAATTAATATTCCTATCACCACTTGTATGAGTAACGATAATGAGATCATAGCTATCGCTACTTTTGGTTTTGCTTCTGTTCCTAGATCCTCATCTATAATTGATTTTAGCTGGGCTACATTTGACAGAAAGAGTGCCGTATCTAATATTCCTTGTGATATAGCTTTTCTTGCATTTTGTCTGGTTTTATGGATATTCTGTAAAAAACGAAAAGGGGAAACATTTTCAAATTGGCTGTAAACATTTGTATTTTCATAGAATTAACATGCTTTACAGAAATAATTGACAAATTATAAAGGCAATGCTCCTTAACCGCTTGACAGAATTTTGTGGTTTCATTGAATCTTACTCATATGAGTAAAGGAAAACACTTTTGCACCACCCATTTCATTTCTTCATCTGAATGCTTGGTGTTTACTTTGGCATGACATTAACTTTGTCATATTCGCACACTACAGTACACTTGTGTACCCTTTTCTCCTCCTAGACCCCGGTCATAATTAAATAAAACATTTTCAGAATCTTCACCATATAATGCAATTGTGCACCTCATATTTTGTTTTTTATCCGAATAACTTTTGGGGTTTCCCTTACCAAACCATGAACCTTGACATAGCTTAACACGAATCTTATACGGCTTCTGATTGGAAGATACAGGATTGGAATTACTTTTAATCGAAAGCTTATCCATCTAGGTTTAAAAAAAATCTAGAAAATCAAATGCATATTTTACAAAGTATGGAAAATATATTCAATTTCTGGACGTAAGAGCCATTAAAAAATTGCCTTTTTCATTAAGCGAAAAAAAAAATAGACGTTGTTTTTCAATTGCATTTTAAGTAAACTTTTGCCGCATGACCATGTATATTGTTTTGATTATTATACAGAGCTAACATTTCTAGTAACAGGAACTGGTTCCTATTTCTTTCAAGTTTGTGTAGTCGTCAAGAAATAAAAATTGGAACACCACCGGTACCCTATGGAAAATGCTTTTCGAATAATTGCGTTCTTGTACTAAAAAGGCTTCTTGATAATCTTCTTTACATTAGTGTAGATTCTTTCTGTGTTTGTTCCAAGTCGGGAGCCTGTAATCCATTGGTTGTTGTCTCTCATAACTATATTTGAGTTGATTGCCCCAAGGGTGACTGGGGAATAGAAATAAGGTCATCACAGGTATTATTCCAATCGGCAGTAAAACCCTTACCAAAGTGGGGCTGTGCGGGATGTATCAAGTACGCAGTCACGTCCGGTCAGAATGGGGACGTTAAATCCAATGCCTCGTGTAGAGAGAGTGTCACGCTCTTTTCACGTTAAGAACCCTTGCAACAACTCTTTGAGGGGTCCGTAGGTGGCCTGTTGCAAGGTAAAAGTTTTTTTCCCTATCCAAGCAAGGTAAAAGTTTTTTTCCCTATCCAATATACCCTCATTTTCCAGTGGCATTCGAAATTTCCCCGACCTTCATCCCGGACGGCCCCTATTACGAGACATACCTATTTTATCTCGTCCTGAATATGCATGAAATATTTGCCACTAGACGTTAAGCAACCAACTCTCTTTTGAAATGTTTCTTATTTTGTCATGCTGGGCTTTTAATGATTTTGTAAACGCTATATGTTTTGCTCATTGTTGAATGCCATACGGTGAGAATGTTTACCTCCTCTTCCTTTGGTCTCTGGCGGATTCGGCAATCATACCACATCCCCTTCTTTCTATATTTTTCATATCATATGAATTTATCGGAAACCACAAGTCAAGGACTGAGTTATGTGAAACATACGCAATTCAAATAATTAGAAAAATGTGACAAGCGATGCATGTTAGTTTGTTTCCTTTCCTTTTTGTTGATTTTGAATGCGCAGAAGGATTTGTTTTATCATAGCTGAGAACTTAGATCATAGAAAATAACGATGATAACAGAACAAGGATTTACTGTGTTTAATGGATAGTAATTGTAACAATAGCTTAACCGACATTTTAAACGTGCAGAATAGGTATATTTTGTTCTTGTAAAATAGTGATGAAATAATACCATGTGCTTTACTTATTACTATATCTTCAAATTGGAACAATTACATATTTCTCTACACAGTGGTTTCCATCACGTAAGCTGGAGATAAAACGATTAGGAACAAAAATGCATAAAAAGTTTAAGAGCATAAAAATTCAAAACGGAACAGTAAAACTGTCTACGAGATGTTGGACAGGGAGTAATTTCATCCCTTCTACCACCCCTTCTCTCATTCCTCCTTCTCCTCTTCTTTAATTCATCCTCCCCCTCTTCTCATTTCTCCTGTCCCTCATCTGTCTGCTCCATTTTATAGGATATATCTCCCAATACACACACTATAGAAACTTAATAATAAAAAACAAGAGGCTCCTATTGGTCTGGATTGTTCACCTGGTGAATTTACTTTAATTTTTTAAGAGAAAATTAACAGGTTACCAGGATGTTCAGAAATGAAAAAAAAAACAGGAACAAATAACAGTAGTTTTTAGAGGAACAACTGGACATAATCTCTGCGAAATTTGATTCTCATCGGCCAAGCAGGTAATATTATAAAATGTGAATGTTTCAGTACATTTAGAACACTAATTACATTAAACATTAAAATATCAGAGCAAGAACATAATATGTATTAGATACACCCTGAGGGCGTTATCCTGAATGGGTGTATCTAATTTACAATAAGATATTATTGTCAATGCAGAATGATATTTTTTCATTATTTAGGAGGGGGTCTTTCAGCGATTTGACCACGTTATTGAACGGCATGATAAATGCAGGGTATCCAATGTCATTTAACAACATCTTGGTGTAAATTTTTTAAATAAAATCTATTATGTTCTTTCTCTGATATTACAACGATTGACAAAAATCATGAACGATCATTGTATTACTGGATGCTGAATAAAATTGGGATCTACGCAAAAATTGAATTCAAGGAATTTTTCGATATTAATCAAAGCATGTTTATCCCCATTATTTATGGTTTTCCAGCCATAAATATAATTGTCACATTATTTGGTGAAACTATCATCCGAATTTTTTTTCAGTTATATTCTTTCACTTTCATCGTATTTTTACTGGGGTTTAAAATTTGGAAATTTCGTTTCATTTTGAATCATAATTTCAATGCAATGAATGAAATGATTGTGAATATGTTGAGGTTATGCGTTTATTGTTTTCCGATTACCTTGGGGTATGCACTTTATAAGTCATTGCCTGTTCATTTTTCATACTGTTTTTTTTTTCAAATAAATTTTGTTTCTTGTTTTGTTTTGTTTTGTTTTGTTTTAATTTTCTGTTTAAATAAATGAATTTGAAACAATTACTTAAGTGTTTTAACTTACTGTCAATAGATCTGACATCTTTGCACAAGTCCTGTCACAGTTGTTTATTGTTAGTAAACAATGTACAACTTTTTATAGTAAGCATTTAACTTACTACGCATTAAAATGAATTGAATATGAAACGTTCATCACGTTTACAACAACATATTTGTTTTACTTCCAAGTTACACAAGTGTATATCATTCTACAGACCATCACCCGTTGGTATCTATAATAATAATAATCGTTGAAGTGCTTTATACAAAAGGTCGGCATTTAAGCTGGAATTGTTGAGATTTTTTTGTTTACTTATGTATATTGATGTATTTTGCGGGGAGTTATCATTTCATCAAGTTGTTACATGGGACTATGTCTCTATGAACAAGCGAAAAAGAATGTCATATAAAATACGTTGTTTGGTTTGTTTGTTTGTTTGTTCGTTTGATGGTTTGTTTGTTTAATAGGTATTGATTGTTATTGCAAGATAATGATAATGAAAAATGTAGCATTTTAATTGCTTTAATAAAAATTATATTTGCATTTTTTTTTAATTATAAGAGGGTTGCTAGATAGAAAAAAAAGTGATTGATTGATTGATTGATTCATTTTTGGTGTTTAATTCCACTTTCAGCACTATTAGCTATTTCGCGGCTGCTATATTTTATTCGTGGCAGTAGCCCGAGTACCCGGAGAGAACCACCGACCTTCGACCGGGAAACTGGCAATCCTAGTCAACAAAATTGGAGTCTTACCCACCTTCCACGTTCGGGGTTCGAACTCACAACCTCAATGTTGACAGGCTAGTGATACAGTAGATGAACTACTTACACCACTCAGCCACACAGGAAACCATGGAAATAAGATATTATATACAGTGTGTGTACGATTAGGCTAACTTCGATTTGTATGGCAATTAAATCATATCTATCATATGGGAAATGATCAAATGTGAATAGAAGATGTTTGGCTTTTGTCAATTTGACAAAAACCCAACGACGCAAAGGAAAATAAAACATACAAAGGTCAACATAAGGTCTTCTATGATTGGCAAGTGTCTATACGATATGTCAAGCTCGAAATTTTCGCGAGTCTTGAAACAGTGAATAAAATCAACAGACTTTTAGAGATCTTCCATTAACACCAATTCCTTCCAACAACACAAAGACGAAATAATACTGATAATGATAATACTAATGGAGATACAATCAGCTCTGAAAACGTACTCTACTTGGGAATATCGGTATAATGGAGAGACAGAACAGATTCATCCAAACCAAAATAAACACATTTCTCATCAAAGAATGCTCTCGGTTAAAATCCAGAAATCGCTGATAAGGAAAACACGTAGTCTTACACTCTAATATCGGCGGCTTCAATTCCAAGTAGATTTCAAACTGCAAAGTTATTAACAATACAGTAAGACATGATCTTACACACTACGCACAGTAATTACTTTTTAGAATTTAAAATTTTCATTTATTATTGTTTTAAGCCATCATATCCGTAAGTAAAAAAGAAGGATTTGAAGGACAATTCCTGCAGTTGGAAACATTCTTTCACAACAAATCCCCTAAGGCATTACTGGCATTGTGATTTAATTTAATGACATATTTACCAATATGTTATCTATATCCCTGCTGAAAAAAGTGTTTTAATAATGAAAATGTAACATTCGTTGAAATCTGAGACCCATTGCAAACATGTGCATATCTTCTACAAAGCTATTCAAGTTTGTATTTAATTTGGCCTTCCAATTGTTTTGATTCAAGCGTCACTAGTGAGTCTATGTAGAAGAAACGTGCATGCGTCCGGTGCCCACAATTTCAAGCATGGTGTCATTAATGAGTTATTATCGCACAAATAAAGGAATGTAGACCCTTTCAGAAAAACAAAGAGAAAATCACCATAAAGAAAAAGGCAAACATCAAAAGGTAAAGTAAAGTCGTCCTGTTTGTCATTAATTTTGGCATGCAATTACCATGAACAGTTCATAAATCAAGGTTTATAAATACAATGACCGATTTCAACGTTTTGTTTATCAAGAATAAGGTGGTAAGATTTCATTGCATATTTAGAATTAATCAGGATTATTTAAAGATATATTATTTCATCTGTAATTGTAACTTAATGTTCTTAAACAATTTTTAAAAGGACAAGAAACATCACACATTGAATCTAGTCTACTTCAATTTTGATTTCGTCGTTGTCTGAATCTGTAGTATTTATACTAGTCGTCGATGCAACTAGTTTCCTTAAACTTGCTGTTGAACCCTTTTCCTCGTCTTGAATATCTGAATAAATAGTTGTTCTAGAGTCGTGTTTATATAGATTTCCTCTGTTAAGCATTAAACTGCCTTTAAAACTTTGATCGTCTGAAATTGTGTCAAGGCTTACAGAAGAACCCATAGGCTTTTTCTCTGTGGACTTTCTGCTTCTTCTTGAATATGTATCTTCTTCCTGAATCGTTCGTAACGTCGCTTTTGAAGTGAAATGATTTTCAATAATGCCTTTTGAACGTAAACTGTCTCGTCTAGATTTTGCCGAGGATGCTCTTGAAGAAGGCACAGACGGTAAAAATTCAAACCGAGCGCACGTTTTCGCGCCTGTGTCATCTGAAATATAAGTCCCTATCATTTCAGTTCCGGCAAATTCTAATTCAACAGTTCCAAAAACACGCCGAGGCCATTTTCCGTCTGGGGGTGATACAACTATTTCTGCATGTAATCGGCAGCCTTCATCAGTGGTGTAAACAGGATCTTCTTCATCACTTGCAAATATTTGAACTCTGATTGGGGAGAACCTTTTCTCTTGAGCTTCTTCAGTATCAAACGCATCTATAACACGAATAGATCTTACTTCGCCTTCTTTAATTTCTTCATTTACAATAAAAAGTACACGAAAAATATTGGAACAATAAGGCTTTCCATTCCATATTACTCGATGAGAATCAGGATGACGTCTTTTACTAAAAGGCAGCATGGCATTGACGCCATATGTAAAATTGCACAATCTAGTGCCAAATGTTCTTGGGTTATGCCCATAAATGACTGCACCCTTAAGGACAGCGAGACCACCCTCCATCGGAATGAAGAACTGTAAATCGGGAAAAGCATTTTTTATTTCCAATTGTAAAATTTCAGATTCAGAAAAGCCTCCAACCATTAATATAGCGCTAACATCTTTACATCGGGGGTGGTTTAAGATTTTCCTTATTTCTTGTGTTACATTTAGTACAATGTCGGAGTATAGGTATTCAAACACCTCAGGCGAGAGACATAGTTTAGACTTTTTGAACTTTATTTTACCTGAGTACTTTGACTTGCAGATTGCATCTTCTATTTTTCGTCCAGTATATGTCTCAAAAAGATCACAGAGTTCAAAGGGAAGTCTCATAACGATATCATTTTTTAAAAATCTGTTGTATGTCTTCTTTTTTAATTCGAATTGTCGGGTCAAATCTAAGTAATCTGGACCATTAAAGTCTCTAAATTGTTGAATGATATCATCTCCAAATACATTACATAGTAACTTTATAAATTCTTCATTAATTTTGTCGCCACCCCAAGGTCCACCGGAAACTTTATACAGCATATCGATCTCCTCTCCATGACTAACTTCCTGTGTCGAAATATTTACAGTACCTCCTTAAAGAAAATGAAGGTGAAAATCAGAATTGTCTTTTGTGAGTAAGATAAACATGTAAGATAAAAATGAAGAGACTCTAAATAGCCTGCATCACTTACTTGGTATATTTGCCTAGTGAAAATAATTTTCACTTTCAGACCTTCTAGAACATGCAACAAGTCTTTATCCTCCTTAATTTTTTTTTTATAAAAACTGACAAGTTACAGGATTTTTCTATTTATTTTTTTTTTCATTTGATATCTGTCATGTTTTCTGCTTTTAACAATGTTAACTGCAATATTTTAGATTTTGATCATCTAATATTATTTGTAATGGATTAACAGTAATAATCCGTTGGATGTATACTGATTGATACCTCAGACTGGTTGAACATGATTTATTTATTAGTTGTTGTTGGCTTTGCAGTAACTGCAGTAACTGCGATAACTCTTAAATCGGTACTTTGTGTCTTTTGTCTTAATGTTAGTTGTTTTTCTGCTACGTGCCGATCTAACCAGTCAAACCATTTTCAACTGATTTTCACAGTTATCTTACACATATGTATGTTCTGCTGTTACACCATTGTTCCTGGTTAGGGAAAGATTGAGCACTTACAAACATGTTTAACTCCGTCACCTATGTGACAGCAGGAGCCTGTAGTTCAGCGGTTATCGTTGGCTGGTTGTATTCTGTTATATTTGTTTTTCGTTTATATGCGGTGACAATTTGAATAAGCAAGCGTATATAGCTGATTCGGAAAACAGCAAGGTACTTACTTGGAAAGATTTGTCCATTGAATGTTTGACTTCCAAAGATTTGTCTATTCAATACTGAACGAGCATGCCATTCATAGTAAGTTGAATCAACCTTAGTCTGTTATTTTTGTTTTATCATATTAATTATTTTTTTTAATGTTTTTTTTTTCTGATTCTGCATATTCATGGTGGTAACTTTAATCATTCAGATATGAACCAATTTACTTTTTTTTATATATTGTACATTTTTTGTGTTCATGTGTCGAAGAGTACACATGTGTACTCTTCATTTGTTGCACATGACGGATTGTCACTCTTAATATGTGGATTATGACACATTTGTTCAAGTATATTATTTTGGGATATTGTACACTTGTACACAATATATGTGTCAGGTATAAAAGATTAACATTATTTATAGTTTTTTTTTTATTGAACACATTTTTACTTTTCATTCATGGGATATGAGATATATTTTCTCCTTGATTGTTTGCGATATGGCATAGTTCAACCATTTAAATTGATACAGAATGTCAAAACTATTCATAGATATTTGATGCGTGGGGATATTTTTGTTACCCCTCTTAATTTTACAAGAATTTAAGACATACCGCCGGCGTCAACAACTATATATTTTCTACCAGCTTCGAATGATTTAAAACTCGTCACTTTGTTTTGTCCAATGAATTTATCAACAGGAAGTAGTCTACAGTATATTGAAGCTGCTTCCGGTTCAAACAATATGGAAACCTTTTGCCGATCTAGACTAGCCTAACAAAGCAATATGAATATAACATATTAGTAATAGTTTCGTGAACTTAAACAGTACTGAAGATTTAAGCTATGGATAAGTATGATAATAAACGATATTTTGTACATGTACGTGCAAAGAAAATTTCGCAAGAAAAAAAAACTAGGATCAATCCAGTCAGTGGTTGTCATTCGCCTTTCTCATAATTCTTCATTTGTAAGATACATAGTTAAGATTTAGATTTTCGCACTAAGCATTCTGCAAAGACTATGAATGAGTATTGTTACATTTATTATTGATAGCGTATTACACAGTAGAGCAATTCAGCGTTCAATGTCAACTCATGGATCTTCCCTCATAGTTAAACTGTTGGTATTGGACTAAAGCAATGAGGTAGGGGCAATTTCTCCTGCATTTGTTTCTTAGCAGGCTACGATTATGAAATGAGGTACGTACGATTGCCAATGAAGAACCGAGAATCAATTTGGAAATCTTTTTCACATTGTCTTTCTTTCAGCCTATTACTGTTTTATTATTCTTATCAGTTCAAAACTTTAACTTCAAAACCACCCACGCTGCGCAAAAGTATTTCCGAAGCATAATGGTCTAAGAAAACAGTGCTTTGTAACCTGTAAGTGTAGTTAACTATCCACCAGAGTCAAAATGACATCGATTTAAATTTAAAGGGACATTTTCAAAACGTCTTCTAATCTTTACCATATTTTCATTACTCAGTATGTACCACAAACAAGGACTTGTTTCGACTCAAATGCTTAGGTCGTGTTCACTTTCAAGAAAACCCCTATCACAGAGGACAACGAATATGTTAAATTCCTGTTAAGCACAGTCACGCTTTCGGAAACCAAAAGTTAAACCATTTCAGTTGAACTCGGCCCAAGGAAGATGCAATCTTAGTTTTAGTACTTTTTACAATATTCATTAACCGAAAATTTACAATCACAATTTATCATTTTAATCATGCACGTATGTTCACAATTGTATAAAACCATATATGCGTAGGTTAACAAACGTAACTCAAGCTCTAACAATTTTGAGGGGAATTGGGAATTAATTAAATGACAAATAATGGTTTTCTTATCAGGTGTTACATTATAAATTATTTTGGGTATTGATTCGTATTCGTAATATTCTATTGTATTAAGAAATAATCAAGATTATCGGACTTTATAATTATTATCACCTTTTCTGCACATTGCATCATAAACTCTTTAGCAGGTTCAGTCCATATTGAAGGTACTGTAATAGTCCACCAAATTTCGCTTTCGTGTAATCCAACATTCCGTTCACGGAGCTGTACCAATAAATGTCTACGTAGATATCCGATAGCGATGGAAAAGATACGTCGTGCAGACATAGATTTCCCTGTGACATCGTCTATCTTGAAATCTCTGGCAATATCCTATGGGATTAGAGAAATCACAACTTGTTATTTTGATGTACTAATGTGTTATATTTTTTAATATTTTATTAGATATTTGAACGTATGGTATCATCGCACAAAAATTAGGCTGACAAATCGATAAAGAAATGACCATAGCATGCTATTGATATAAACATCAGAAAATGTTGTGATTGCCAATGAGACAACTCTCCACCATAGACCAAATGACATAGAAGTTAACAACTATAGGTCATCATATGGCCTTCAACAATGAGCAAAACCCATACCGCATAACAAGCTATAAAAGGCCCCGAAATTATAAATGTAAACAATTCAGTGGAGAAAACTAACCTGAATAATGTACAAAACAATAAACGAAACATTGGCATTTCATAAAGTATCGTAAATGTTTGTGAATACCATGCTAAATTTTGACGTCACTGCAAAGTTAAGATGAGAGTTAATGGATGCTCTGTGATTAAGCTCCTTGGATTGATAATTTTCAATTGAATGAATGTTAACTTTGAGGTCAAGGTCACAGCAGGAATTGATAGACAGAAATTGGGTCGGATTTAGGCTTCATGGGGATTTTCAAGGAGGTTATGCCCTTTGGAAAGAACAAGACCCTATTTCTTTTCCGGTCAGTAGGATAACGGTCAAGAATATTTTGAAGAAGTCTTGTTATGAGACAATATCTTTTGAGAGTCCTAAATTAGATCTTTATCCATTTTCGGTGCATAATGTGCCTTGAGTTAAAAAAGACTTGTAGTAATTTTTTGACCACTTTGTCAAAAGTCAAGGTTATAGTTGCAATTAATAGACAATAATCTTAAGCAAGTTTCCCGTAACATGATATAAATTGTCAGCAGACTTTACAATTTTAATCACTAAAACGAAAAAAATAGGACCCGACATTCAACTATTTATAGCTCGTTATTATAACTATAGCTTTAAGCAGTTTTACGTTTTCTAAAATTTACGCCTCAAACACTTTTGCATAGAAACAAATGACACTAGTCATGGTTATACATATGTTGACATTATACATTCATTTGTAAGGAAATCAAAGTTCCTAATTTAAGTGTTAAGAAAATACAAAAAAAAAAACCCAAACTGTATCTAAATATTGAACTATACCTATCGTTTTACAAGTAATTCAACTAAGACAAGACTGACTACTTACACCATGGGAACCAGCAGTGAAATCAATCCAGTAGTAGTAAATCAAAATTGAACATACCAAATTCGCTGCACGTGATAAAATCCTTCATCATAAATGATGCAAGTTAAGTTGCAGTCTCTATTCGAAATAACGAATTAAAACAAAGCTGCTAGATCCCCTGACGTTTCAAAATCTTAGCTTAGTCAAAATGTTGTTTTTATAACAGATATGTCCACCTCTCACAACGGTAATTACCACCACTACAAACATAAGTTTTTTGGATTTTCACCGAGATTTTCACAGCATAATAGGTGTTTATTTTCCTAATGTGTCTTTTTTATATTAAAGTTTCAGGTCATTTGATTCATTTTATCATGAGTGACGAATAACAAAACTTGCAGAAATATGGAAACGTTAAATACAAGCTTGAGGTTACCCTTTTCTTTTCAGTTTATAACATTTTAGTCGATGACTTTGTTTTCATTAACTTTACATTCTGTACGATTTCATAATTTAAGTTGCAAGTACTTAGTGTTGCCCTAACTTCACTATACTAAACTTTACATTCAATTCCTTGGATTTTTTTTTTATTATTATAAGAACTTTTTCTTTTATACCACAAAGTGTTGGTAATTTATATGGTTAGATTATTGATATTTCTGTGTTTTCTTAAATTACTTTTACTGCACAAAATACTAATAAGAGTTTGCACCTACCTCCCCATTCTCAATAGCTTTGTATAGTAACATTTTGAATCCTTTGAAGTAATACCAGTCATCTTGGAGATTATTAGCCAGTATTCCTTCATACTTATCTTCAGCTTCATATCCAAATGCTATAAATCTCTTCTCTAAGTCCAGGAGAACAGAACAAGGCGCTTTACTTGTAGCAATATCATGATTTCCAGTCGTCCAAAGGAAAGTAGAAATATCTAAAGGGTCTTTTCGGTATTCATGTCGGAAAGAGAACGCATATCCAGCTGTTGTACTGCCAAAGTCGATCGCAGCTACGAGAAGTTTATAATCTTCATCCATATATAGCTTGACTTGAAAGAAAAGGATGTAACTAAATATAGTTAAAATGCTTTTTTTCGTTTTGTAATTATTTCCTTATAAAGTATGCAAATCATCCGCTTAACATTGTGTAATTCTATCATTTTGAAAAATGCAAGATCGACATGGAGCTTTTTACAGTTGAGGTACATGGAACCAATCTTTAATAAGTTTAAAGTTTTACAAGTCTTTAAATGACTTTTAACAAATTTGTAAAGTCAATGATTAAATTGACCTTTATGTTCATGTACCTTTCCCAGACCAGAAATCTCGTCCTGTACTTAAATTCAGTTATCACGGTGCGCTGTACTATTATTAGGTTGGTTTGGTTATTAGTGAGTTTAAGAGAACTCTAATTTCATTGGTTGTTAGTGAACCATACAATTTGACGTCACGATCCTTTTTTAATTCGGATCCAACAGGAGAGGCTGCATATGTTAAAACTTATTGTTATCAGAAGAAATTTTAATTCAAAAACCCTCCCTCCTCCCAGAAGTGTATATGCATTGTAAATATAATGTATTAGAATAAGATACTGCTGTGTTGTAATTTATAATTTCAGGTGATGTTTAAGTTGTCATTTTTGAACAACTATATGTATTTGGCCATTTGGACAGACAGGACCTGTGAAGAAGTCGGATCGAAGTTATCGAACTTTCCAACAAAGACTTTGATTTACCATGCCTGTGATCTGCATAATTCGCTGCATCAAAAAACATTTTGTTTTATGAATAGGATCATTTACTACAGATGAACAATGTAAGGGTTTCGATCCATCACCTGTGTTCCCACGGTGATATCCAAATTGTTTTAATCCTATCTCCAGTTACCATTATCTGTGGTAGTAATTCATATATATATATATATATATATATATATATATATATATATATATAAACGAGTCTAAATTGAAAACAACGTCCAAACCAAATATTTATATATATGACAGTACGGTTGCCATAATCAGCGATATGCGAGTAACCTCATTGTTCAGAAAGCATCATTTATGGTTTTATGTTTAATCATATATCACTGACAGTTCGGTTGCCAGCAATTTGCGGTAACAGCATATATTGAATCAGTATATACAATATGTATAAATTTTGAGAATAATAATATTAAAGGCTGTGGCCAAATACTGCCAATTTGTTGTTTGGTCTTAATAAGCACCTGGCATAACTTCTTTATATTTAAGGCATAAAAAAGTAAGTAGAGAAATGAAATTACGTGTAAAACAAAGAATCATCAATTTTTAGGTAAAGTATTGATTTGGTCCAGTTAAAAAAGGTAAACAAATAGTATGTATGAAGCTGTCAAACCGAATTATAGACCCTCTTAACAAAATATTATTCATATTTTGAGTTCGAGCTAATAGACCCTGTTTCTGGAAAAAAAAATTATCAGAAACGCTCGTTGTCATAAAATAGAAGTTCCTTCATAAGATAAGTTCCAAGTGGAAAGAAAAATTCTGTAATATCATTTCCATTGGAACAAATATTACAATGTTACGGAATAAAGGGTATAGAGTATTTGTTCTTTATGGATTTGTCTATAACAAAGTTTCCAGGGAACTTCTGTTAGACGGAACAAATATACGTTGACATCGTGACCGAAAGTAGGGAAAGCCAAAACTATATTAAAACGTTAGAGAGCAAGACATCAAAAGGGACTAGGACCCAAATAGAACACAAACATACACCAAAATCAAACAAGCAACCAGAATATAACTGAAAATCAAATGAATGAAAAGTGAATGCGAAACCTCTGACAGACTCTTTTAAAACTTACCAAGACTCGTTCATCAGCGTTTTCTTTTTTTTTTGTCTTTTAAAAGGTGCCGTTTCATCAATATAAAATGTTGGAGTCCATATTGTTTTACATATTATACTATAATCAATACCTATTAATTAGCATGAAATACTGACCTGTTAAATACAATGAAGTCATTTAATAAGATGTAGCGTTAGATAAAGTTATGCTCGAATGGTAAACCTTTATACATTCATCGGTAATATATTAGTGTAATTAATTTGGCAGTCATACCTAAATATTAAATGCATTATTATTCTGAATTGCTAAGACAAAACATTTTAAACACAAACACAATAGATACTGGTTAAGAACAAAAATATTGCACATACGTAGACATTTAACTTTTTCCAACGATATTAAAGTCCATTTTGGTGTAAAAAATCTTTGCAGTCAGGAGTATTTTATTGAATACAACTGATTTTATACAGTTAGTGATACTACATATAACAGAATAATCTTTTATAATGAATTCACATAAGTTACTTTTTGAATTACATTAAGGTTCTTATATGGGTCGTTCTGTTTGTTACAATAACAAATACAGATTACTTACTTGATGCAGCACTATATTTTTAATTGTTTCAATTTCTGTTATTCAATCTTTAACCTTTGTTAGGGTTATACTACTATCATTTGTATCTTTCATTTCTTTGAATTATTTTGACATTTTAATGGTGAATTCTAGAACAGTTGTTTCTCCTAGTTTGTCTTTTACTTTAATTTTTTTTTTAATATTTTATAGTAGTATACACTATCTTTCTTTTGTTCTGACTTGGGAAAGGCAAATACAGAATATGGTGAGGTTACACATGTTTGGTATGCGTTCAACATCTCCCTTATCTAGGATAGTGGTGTAACAGCACAACATTAAAACACACTTGACTTATCAGATCGGTACTTAGTACAAAATTCCCTAACAAAATGTCAATAGACACAGGAGACTGATTGAAGAGGACCGTAGTTACTGGAAGCCAGTTCGAAGCACAATTTCCACCACTGAAAAGACCATGTCTTTTTATACTAAATTATTATAAAAATAAGATGTGGTATGATTGCCAATGAGACACCAATCCTCCAAAAATTAGCTATTAAAGTTCTCGTTTCAAGTCATATACTTTACATTGTTAATTACAGGGCCCAGTTTATTCTGCCTTTATATCTAATCGGAACTAGAAAGGTGATTTCAAATCATGTTCATGTTATTACCGTATATTACAGTATTTGGTCCCTGTGTCTTTCGGAAAGTTTTATGGATACAAAAAGAGAGGCGAAAGATACCAAAAGGATATTCAAACTCAGAAGACGAAAACAAATTGACAATGCCGTGGAAAAAAAAAACCAAAAACGACCAAAAAAAACCAAACAAAACTACACAAAACATTACATAGAAAACCGAAACCGGGGTTGATCTCAGGTGCCCCGAAAGGGTAAGCAGATCCTGCTCCACATGTGGCACCCGTTGTGTTGCTCATGTAAGTACAAAACCGGTGATAAGTGTAATTCGGTAGGTCACATTCGAGGAACAGAGAACGGATTATGGTTACGACAATTGGAACATATCCGTCGTCATCTGTGAAGCAGGCATTTTGTAACGGTCAACCAACTCGTGATGGCGTCCGTAAATTTTTTCGAAGGGATGATTTCAACTTTACCACTTAAAACTCTTGGTTTAATAGCTTCCTTGTAAGCAGCAGCCATCTATTAAAGTAATCATGATAGGAAATACAAGCTCTAGAATATCGTGTCAAGTGGTTTAAAATCTTATTCGATGTATACATGCTTTCAAAGCCCGAATGGGACGTGTAGTTTTAGAGTACTTAAATGTTGTAAGATTGAAGGAAACAATTTTAAACCAATTGTAAAGGTAGTCTTTCTTTCCCAAACAGAAAAAAAGATCTATTAGTTTTTTGGTTGTTGATTGCGTGAGATTCAGGGATAATATTTGAAGCATGTTCATTGATGGAGATAGACCTTTGTAATGTGGAAGAAATGATCGAACATCCAGTTACATATATTTTTGGAATATTCATTCTGATACGATAAAATCTTTTAATACTGGTAAGGGTCGCTAAGACAGGGACAAAAACGAGGACATGGTATCACTTAAACAATATTTTGAGATATGTGCGACCTATTTATCTGTATAAAGGTTTTGGTGTTTCTAGAAATTTGAAATAATATGATTTAGAAATTTATCAATATCACCTCTTCGTTGATATACCACATTATTTCTTTTTGTAGCCCCCTCTGGCATTACATTTTGTTTTATTCTTTTATTATTTACTAGTCCAAGGTGGCGGAGCGAAACAGTGCAATAACAACTTCTGAGATGAAAGTTAGAGCACTGAACGAAGCTCCTTCCATTCTTTGCTTTTCCTATGACAAGCGGTCAATGGCTGGATTGGATAGTGCACTAAATAAAAAATTATTTAGTTAATGCACTCTTCTAAAAATAACAGAAGTTAACTCACTCGAAGATCAAAGGAAAAATTGCCATTCATGTAACAAGGTTTTGAGGACTCTGAACAGAACTCTTTTATTTTTCAAAGTAAAACTATAAACTGCAAATCCGGTAGTTGTTAACAACAAAAAGATATGCTGAATTCATCAGTAATTAAACTACACAATCTTACTTCACTCGGAGTTATAATATGAATGGTAAATCGTCTAATTAAGTTTACGGATTGGATGTTAACAGTTGCGGTCTGGAATATGTCGGTGAAACGAAAGACAGACTAAACAAACGAATGTGGGGCCACTAAAGAGACATCAACAGCAATGCAAATAACATTCTTCATCAACAATTTCATTCAGTCTTTTCAGTACGAGTTCGCACCACCGAAAAAATATACGTTGTACTACAATACTCATTCGCACTGCTACTGGGAACTGAGACACCCATGTCCTTTCTGCAGCATGGTGAATGATGAATAATTTTAATCCTGCTCCTCTGCGTAGACGCAGTCATGGTAATTGTTATTGTATATATTACCTTCACTACAAACAGATTGTATATAAATGACATTTTAACAATGTATAGAGGTTGTTGGGTGTACGTTATATACACACGAAGCTAAAATATTCTCTACCTCTTCGAAACATAATTCTTTTTACAAAAAAATTTGGAAATCCATGTTTCAAATCGCAATTCTAATAAGCCCAGTCAGACTTACAGCTATCATCTCTGGTATTGTCTATCACTTATAATCATATGACTGTTTTGTTTTCCTATAGAATTTCAACCAAAGACGAAGAACTTGATTTTCCTCCATTCTACTGCTCTACGAAGTTTCTTTAAAATTATTACCATATACCAGCAGTATAAACTTGGATTCAACGATACCTATGTATTATAGCTTCTTCAAATGGTATGTCTGCAAAGTTACTTTCTGTTAAATTGGAAGATTTTAGAAGTAATTGTACAAACCTTTAATCATTTTTTATACATTTGGTCATAAAATGAAAAGAAATGAAGTCATTGTCATTTTTTTGAACTCATAAATGATAACAAACCTCGGGTTTTGTCTTCAAAACCAATCAAAAGGATTCTTTGCTTTTATCAGGGACATAAAATGACAAATTAAATAAACTCATCAATGATACCAGGATTAAAATTGTGTACGCCAGACGCGCGTTTCGTCCACAAAAGACTTCTCAGTGACGCTCGAATCAAAAAAGTTAAAAGGCCTAATAAAGTATGAAGTTGATGACCTAAAATTCCGAAAGGTTTTGCCAAGTACAGCAAAATCCATTACCGAAACAACACAAATGAAAATGTCTGTTAGCGAGAAACACGTCCATGAATCAAATATATAAATTTATAGTTATAATGACGCTTCTAACATTCTGTCCTGTTTATTAATGGTTAACTAAAGTTAAGATATCAAAACATCTGTAGTTTATGAATTTGCAATTATCGTTTTTTTTTTTTTATTCTTAGTTGAGGGTATTGGAGTATAGGGTGGGTGGTTTTTTTTTTGCTGTTTGCTTACTTCATTTTGATATTTATTGTTACTTTTATTCATTAAAATTATTTCGAATTTAAAATTGTGTAATCATTTCAAATATTTTGTTATTGTAGTTATCTGCTGAAAAAGATAACATTGATTACCAAGGATAAAAACTTAATAGTTGTTTGTTAAATTCTACTGTTCGTAGTTAAAGAAACCTCATTGAAAAATATAATTATATCTTATTCTAAATCCTTAAAATGTTCACAGTTTCTATTCAAACTTTTATAGTCGATTATGCGTTAAGATTATGTACAAGTATATACTTGAACAGATGCTTCATAAATTTGATAATGTCTTAAGGTTAGACAAGAAACAATAACCAAGCTACTTCTACATGATGGTGTATAACCAATTGTTACTAATTTTCTGGTTTTAACATACAAAAGAGACGACTTTTCATTCCCTATTGTTAATTTTCCTTTTTTAGACGGCGATGTTCCTTTGGCTCCATCATACGGTGTTTATATATCCCAACTCGTTCGTTATGCCCGTGTGTGTAGTGATGTCATAGATTTTAACGAACGTAATCAATGCATCACTGGTAAGTTATTAAGTCAGTGATTTCGTTACCATAAATTACGTAAAACGTTTACTAAATTCTTTCATAGATACAAAGATTTGATTAGTAAATTTGGCTGTACCTGTAGAAAACTAATTAAAAACGGTATTTCACATCCTAAATTTTACGGTAATATTGTACTTAAAGCGCGGAAATCACTATGTGATCCGTGTATACTCATCGAACCTTTAAACAAACTTATTAGTAAAGGTTATCTTACCAATGTTGTAATTAGATCTTTGAATATAGTTTACATTGGCACTAATATCGATTTTGTCACCAGCAAATTAAAACATAACTAAATTTGTATTCTTTTCAAACAGGATGTATAAAGACACACCCACGTTCATTTTGATCTATAAAGAGGTTAAACTCCTAACTATCCTACTGCCTGTCGATACATTTATTTTTGGCATTGCACAAGTCATGTCTTCTTTGACTGTCCATGACGTTAAAATACTAAATCCCTGGGATGTGTTTTAGTTGATATTAGTCTCTGATGCATGATTTTTTATTATTAATTGTTTTTGGCTTTTAACTAGCTGTCAGTAACTGCGAGTACTCTCAAATCGCACTTTCTTGTTTATTTGACCTGTTGATACTAATTGTAATGCTTTTTTGTTATTTAATGTTATTCAGGGTTATATCTGGTCTATATACCAGCTTTGATAAGTGTTTGGTATAACTATAAATTTTCACTTCGTACTATGAACATCAAAATTAATTATTGTGTAAAAATATTTCCTATCTCTATTTGAACTGTACACGTATACCTAACAACAAAATTATTTTCATTTACCTGTGTTTAAAGTTATTGCAAATGGCTGATATTTTTGTTCGAGCATATTGTTTTTCTTAAATTGTTTAGCATTTCATAGCGGTATAACATTTTACTTTTATTATTCTTCCCTTAGTTTATTTATTTTGTATTTACATTGTATCATAGGTCAAATTTATTTGTTCAGTGTATGTTCACTGGTGTTAATATGTCCTTTGATTGAGTTAAGCTATTTCAGTTGATATTTTATAGTGTGTCTTTCTATGTTGTGATGTTACACTATTGTTTCAGAAAAAGGGTGAAGGTTTGGTACCATTAAAACGTTTAAACCTGCTGCATTTGTTTGCACCTGTCCTAAGTCAGGAATCTGATGTTCAGCAGTTGTCGTTTGTTGATGTGGTTCATAAGTGTTTCTCGTTTCTCGTTTTTTATATAGATTAGTCCGTTGGTTTTCCCGTTTGAATGGTTTTAAACTAGTAATTTTTGGGGCCCTTTATAGCTTGCTGTTCGGTGTGAGCCAAGGCTCCGTGTTGAAGAGCGTACTTTGACCTATAATGGTTTACTTTTATAAATTTTTACTTGGATGGAGAGTTGTCTCATTGGCTCTCATACCACATCTTCTTATATCTATATAAGTAAAACTACGGTGTAATCAGTTTTGCAGGTACTACTGATGCTTTCATGAGCACAGTATAGTAGTTGTTTTAAATATAAAAATACCTATATTCTGTTCTATATTTTTTCACTTTTCTCTGACTTAAATTATATATTTTGTTGAAATTGTCCAAACATAATAAAGGTTAATAAAGTAACCTCATGTTGCACATGCTTTGTCATAATCTACGTGTTTAAGATATTAACTTGTATATGACTATTGAAGTCTTTCAAATTTGAAATGAATGAAGAAATACGTAATATTTGTATCTTTAATTATATTTTACTAGATTGTTCCGGTGATCCAAAAAAAATAAATATGAGATGTTTTATTGACTTCTACAGATCAAATATTTCAAAGGAAAAAATGATTAAAAGTGATATTAATTTATAATTTCCAATATTCATTGAAATCTAGTTGTTTTGTGTTCATTTTTGCACAATAATTCTAATTTTCGCCGACGTCAATTCGTTTCATTTGATGTTTAATGCATCGATTTATTTATAATGACTAACCATCTGTTTAACCCCGAGATGACATGAGCTCGCTTTTACAGCTGTTACACAGAGTAGACATTTTTTTTTCATCACATACCAACAAGACTACAAGATGAAAAGATTGTGTTTTTTGTTTTGTATACTTTTCTTTGCAGTTGGTGCATTTTCAGGTAAGTTTTCATCAAAAAGAACGTTTTGCCAAATTCGAACGTACAACAATTGAAAATTGGTTCGTTATTTGGGATTTTCTGTTATGGTCTATGCTGTGAATATGTTCTTTTCTATCGTTGCTTACATGTAGCTATAGAAAAGGATCAGTCCCATTTCTACCAAAACTGAATAATAGTCTAAGGCTCGAAAATCTTGAATACTGTAAACAAAAATTTATTTTAAAATGTAGTTGAAAACCTTATTTGTACAAAAAGTCTCATCTGCATTAATTGTACAACAGAATCTACTCCAAAAAAAACAAAACTTTAACTTTCAGTTACTCTGGTTCGATATCACTGCTGTTGCTCTCCGATGGTATTCTCCGACACATATACTAGTACACTTACTGGTGTTAACCCCATATCTCTTTTTATTCTTTATATTCATACCGATACATGCAAGACGATTTTGTTACTGAGCATGATGTCATAAGCACTTATTAGATTAAAATAGAGCGATACAAGTCTCTTATCTTTTATTTGAATTTGTAGAACAATACATGTTTGAAACCCATTAGTGTGAATCGAACATGACACGTACAGGAATTGATTATTCCATACAAAAAAGAGGCGGAAGATATCAATGGGAATTTCAAAACATATTAATCGATTGAACCTGACAAACCATGGCAAAAAAACCCAAAAAAAACGAAAGAGGTAAAGACAAACCAGTTCACAAAACACTACATAGAAAACTAAAGGCCAAGCAACACGAACTCCACAGAAAAAGTTGATTTCAATTGCTCTAGAAGGGTTAGCATATCCTGCTACACTAGTGGCACCCGTCGTGTTGATCATGTTAAATACAAATTCGGTGATGAGTCTCATTCGGTGATGTCACAATCGAGGAAAAGAGGAAGGGATTGTTGTTATGATAATTGGAACATATCCGTGGTCTACTGTAACACAGATGATATTTCATAATGGCAAACCAACTCGTGATTGCGTCCGTAAAACTTTCGAGGGCAGCAGCACTTTATCAAGCAGTTAATGTAATGTGATTCACACTTAAAACGATGTTGTTTGGGGTTTTATCTGCTAGACAACAACATATTTGTTATGGAGGTAGGACAGGGACTTAGCAACATATTGGTCTTTAAACATAGATGAAGCATGATCGTTCGTAGACCTCACAGCCTTATCCCATTGGGAAAGAGTATCCATTTCTTCATTTTTGAACTTCTCCCATCCGAACGTAAAACCTATGCTAAAAGGGGTGTCCATTTAGCTGTGCGTGATGTATAAGTACGCAATCAAGCCTGGACGGAATGGGGACGTTTAATCAGACGTCTCGTGTAAAAGTAATAACAAAAATACCAAACTCCAAGGTAAATTCAAAAAGGGGATATGCATAAAAACTAACAAAACCAAACGCTTGATTATATCAACCAACGGAACGATTGGAAAATAACTCATTTTCTTGACTTGGTACACATATTCTCCGAAGAAAATGGTGGATTAAACCTGGTTTTATAGCTAACTTAACCTCCCACTTGTATAACAGTTGTATATAGTTCCGTCAAGAGTGCACGCGTTTTTCGTCTATAAAAGACTCATCAGTGACGCTCAAATCATAAACGTGAAAAAGGCCAAATAAAGTACGACTTTGAAGAGCATTGGGGACACAAAATGCGAGAAGAGGTTTTGCCAAATACAGATAAGGTAATCTATTCCTGGGGTAGAAAATCCTTAGTATTTCTAAAAAGTCAAAGTTTATTTATAATTATGATCATATCAACGATAATTCATTTCTTCAATAAACCACAACATAAAAAACTAAAGACTTGAGCAACATTAATCCCAATCAAAACCGGGGTTGATTTCAGGTTCTCCCGTAACATTTTCGAAAGGTTAATTTCAACTTCACCACGTGAAACTCTTGTTTAATAGGTTCCTTGTGAGCAGCAAACCTCTATCAAGGAAAATATTATGAAAAACAAGGTCTTGAATATCGCATCAACTAGGAGATATATACTCCATATGCAGGCGCTGCTGGAATGTTGCTACATAGAAATGGGAAGATTACAATTGAGAAGCTGAAATCATCTCTTTTGTCGTTAAGGTTTGTTTTCAACTGACCCTCTTTGTTTATTTCTAGATGTAAGTCAAGATATGAAGCAGACAAATCTGAAACTGTTGTATCCTTTATTTCCAGTTCGATGGGATATATGCGTTCAACATAGTCACCAAACTTTGAATTATTTAGTCATAGGACATCATAAATTAAACGTGACTGAAGTTTTTTTTATTCTCAATATGTCTTCAAACGTATGTTAAAACATATTTAAAAAAAAGTTGTTTTCAACATGTTCATTGGAATTCTCAACATGTGGAACTATATGTTGAACCATATTCTATTGGAATGAATTGATATAACATATAGAAAACATTTCATATGATTTATTTTCTATATATATAAAAAGAATACATGATATGAAATGATAGTTTGTTACTGATGAAGGTTAATCCAGAAAGTGCTTCAGACATATTGACAAGTGAGAGGTTTAGCTAGCTATAAAACCAGGTTTAATCCACCATTTTCTACATAAGAAAATGCCTGTACCAAGTCAGGAATATGACAGTTGTTTTCCATTCGTTTGATGTGTTTGAGCTTTTTGAGTTTGCAAGTTGATAAAGGACTTTCCGTTTTAAATTTTCCTTGGAGTTCGGTATTTTTGTTATCTTACATTTTGATAGAGTGTTAAGAAGTTACCGTAGCCTAAGTAAAAGAGGTAGGACCAATTTCCCCTGAATTAATTTCACGCCGGGGTAATCTAAATAAAGTCTTCTGAACGTTTCTAATATTCATAGAATGACAGCTAACTGTATTTACTTTTAGGTTCTAACAACATTTAGGCGTATTTCTGAAGGTGTATATATATTCTAAATGGTCTTAAGTGCAATGTTTGGGCAGATTTTGTCAAATATTGAGTTTTTATCGTAAAAATAGATAAGAAGGACATTCTTAATCAAAACTAAAATTCTATAGGGAATAAAAACTATACCCACATTAATGTATGTTGGTAAAAGATGTCTATTATTGCACAATTTAAATAAAACATGTAAAATGTGCGATATTGTGTCTAACCTGTCTTCAACAACAATGTACAGAACGGGAAAATTTGATTTATACAGTTTTAACTGTTACTTTTGTTTTTATTTATAAAACTTAAAGCTGATTTCTTGCCCGGCTTTGGCTATACATTTTTGTCCTTTTTGGATTATAGTTCTTCATCTTTTTAATAAGCTTTATATTTTCAAACATTTTGGTCTCGAGCATCACTAAAGAGACATTTATTGTCGAAATGCGCATCTGGTGCAGAAAAATTGGTATCGTTAATGTTATTAAAATTTCACACACTAGTTTGATACTTTATACCACTATTCCCAATGTCAAATTGAAAAATCGTCTAAAAGAAATAATCCACAATGCTTTTCAATATAAAAATGGTAGCATACGCTATAAATTTATTGCTTTGGGATACCATACGACAAATTTTGTTAATATTGAACAAAAAGGTAAAACATTCTACAACGAGGAACAAGTGATCAGTATACTGGAGTTTCTTACTGACAACATATTTGTTGAATTTGGAGGTAGACTTTTCAACAAATTGTCGGCCTTCCTATGGGAACGAACTGTGTGCCTCTCCTTGCCGACCTCTTCTTTTTTTCATTTGAGTCGGAGTTCCTTCAGACACTAGTCAAAAACTAGAAGATCAAAGAAGCCAGATAATTTAATTTCACATTCCGATATATTGATGATGCTCTTTCCATTAACAATCCAAACTTTTCTGATTTGGTTCCATTAAAATATCCTCCAGAACTAGAAATTAAAGAAACAACAGACACGCCTCCGTCTCATTTTTAGACTTATACCTCGAATTTGACATAAGCGGTCATGTCAGTACCAGAATCTTCTCTTCAAATGAAACGATTTTAATTTTGAAATTATAAATGTCCCCCACCTTAGCAGTAATATACCAACTTCACCTGCATATAGAATATACATTTCCCAACGAATTCGGTATTCAAGAGCTTGCAGCTGCTACTCAGACTTGATAATACGTCACCCGTGTCTGGGCAGAAAGTTGATGAACCAAGGTTATGTCAAAGAACCTCTCGTCCTTTTTCTAAAAAAGTTCATCGGAAGATACCAAGACCTTGTTGATAAATATTCAGTATAAACTTCACAAATAATACATGATGGTCTTGAAGTATAGATTTTAGGCACATACGTTGTTTATCATCCTAATTACATGTTATTGTGTTCTTTTTATTTGTCTTTGTATATTTTTAACCTTTACTGTTTAGTCCATTTTTGGTAATAGCCCTTTGGCGTGGTTCGGTATTTATACATCCCGCCATTGTGTTATTGTGCTAAGGTCATTTTTTTGTATTATTGTCTTTCATTTTTGCTTATGTGCTTTGTCTATAGAGTGTCTACATCCCATTTAGTTTTTCTTTGATGGCATAGTTGTTTGTTTTATAGTGATTAAGATTATATCACAATGTTGACTGCTGTATCCCAATTTTTGACATTTTTACCTATTATGTTTGTTTGTTTTGCTCACACATAGTTGTCAATATAATGGAATTTAATGCGACTGTCATACAAGTGAGAGGTTTAGCTAGCTATAAAACCAAGTTTAATCCACCATTTTCTACATAAGGAAATGCCTGTACCAAGTCAGGAATATGACAGTTGTTTTCCATTTGTTTGATGTGATTGAGTTTTTGATTTTGCCATTTGTTTAGGGACTTTCCGTTTTGAATTTTCCTTGGAGTTCGGTATTTTTGTTTATTTACCTTTTGAAAGTAACTTTTTTTTTCTAAACACAAAATATTGCCAGTCATCATACGTCTTGAAATAAGGTATTTTAATTTATTTAAGCCTTTGATTCTTTTAAATAAATGTGTAGTTTTGGTTGTGCATGCAGAAATAAACTTATCTGTATTTACGGATTTTCTTCCAATTATTAATATTGTTTTTTATTTCAGATCCTATTAAGATAGATGGACGACATGAGATCTACAAAAGAGCACTAGCAGGTAAAATCTGAGACAACAGAAGTTTAGCAATGTTCTTTTCTCATAAATCATGTTAGAAGATACAAAAAAAAATTAAAAAATGGGGGAATCGCATTAACTTCAAAAGGAGCGAGACTGAGTGCGTCGACGGGATTAGCGTCTCCTGCGTTACATGCATCACCCACCATGTGGATCCGCCCTCAATCAAAATGTCACAAACGGGACACAAAATGTAAATGTACAGATCAGACAACTATTCTGTTGGTTAAAGATCTAAGTTCGCGTAAAAATGTCGCTTTGAGTCGAGACTCATAATAAGAGATTAACTAATTTGTAATGGTGAAGGTAGAGTTATGTAGTGTTGATTCCCGTCGTTCTTCCTTTAGTATACTTAATCTCAAGTTCACTGGGATATATGAGATACAAGCCCGCACTGAAATGATGGTTATTGAATGAAGAGAAACATCAATATACTTTAATTTGAGAGTGTGATAAGAGAACTTTTCCAAGTGCTTTTTCTTATTGTTTTTTAAGAAGGTTTTGCAAGAATTCTGCTTCATATAGTACAAAAAAGTTGCTCAGTAGGAGTGCACAATTACTGCCCATTAGAATATCGACTGTCTGTTGAAATAGCAATCCGCCAAACTCAACAAATAGGTTGTCCATCAAAGTCCAGCATTTTAATGATATTATCATGGGTGCATTTGTTGTTGACATCAGTGTGGGTCTTACAAAGGAAGATTTTTAATTATCTTAAACAAGGAATTTGTATCTACGAGTCCCGTTTGTAGAAAATGCTTTTGTTTATAAAGACGATGCAGTCATGAGAAAATAGTAGTGTAAATCGTAGGAAAATCAAAGGTTTTGGTATTTTAAAGATTGCGATTTAAGATTTTAGAGTAGATCATATAAATTTTACTTACGGCCATATTCCACTGTAGAAAAATGGTAGTAAGACCTTTAAAAAGATACTAATTAAACATTTTGATGAGCCCACTTTATATCGTTCTTTATAAGGACTACTGCGAAATTTATATATGCATTACAAAGACGAAAGTTTTTAATCGTCCTTTATTTTATTTTCATACCAAAGGACAGAATGACGGGTTTGTGATTTTCTCAAATCTGTTCTTACGTAAATGATGTAGGGTATGTGTGGGATTCCTAGTTTTGTTGTGAATTCCAAGTTCTTTAGTCAGACATTCCAATTAATGATTTTTGCATATAAAACAATATTGTTTGAGGCTTTGTCTGCTGGAAAACTACATATATGTCGTGAAGAGAGGCTAAATAGTCATCAGCATTGCGCTTCCTGAAAGGGTTAGAAACATATATGCTCATGATAAATCGTTTTTGAATGCAATTATGAATGAATTTCCGAACAGCTTTGATCTATGCAGATAAATTGTTCAGTTTTAAGTTATATGGCTCGCGCTTTACCTTGACATAGTCTTCATTTGAATCCATCAGTAGCCTGAAGATTTTCTTCCAGTTGATGGACCTTTGAACTCTATATTTTGGGATTTTGGATCAACACTTAGTCTAAGTTGTTCGTTTTTAAACGATGCCAAGGTTTAGATATGTAACATGACCATCCTTGATGGTGAAGGTCTCTAATACCCTCTTGTGGTTTAAAATGATTAAAGCAATATGATTGGTGTTGGTATATAAAATGACAGGTGTAGTTTTATATTTGAAGTTATAAGGTATTGTTTTCTATACAGATAATTGGTGGAAAATATTGCTTATATATAAAAACATCAAAACTCTTATTAGCGAATTCTACTTTAAAAAACTACACTTTTAATCATCTTTGGAAATATTTGTCACGGATTTGAATAGTCTGTGAATAGCAATGTACATAATTATTAAAATAAATTGAAATCAATAACGGAGGTGTTTTGGACCTCGGGAAATAGTGAATTGAACCTTGGTATGAAAAAAAAGTTTAATTCGATTCTAATTTTTTGAGGATAGGATAACAAACAATTCATAGACACGGTATAAACTGCAGTTGGTGTATATTTTCAATGACAATGATTCCTACTGCGTGGAAACAAAAAAACTGATCAAAGATACACAGACGTGCTAAAACAGGGGCGAAAGATACCAAAGGGACATTCAAACTCACAAGTCGAAAATAAACTGACAACGCCATGGCTAAATAATTCAAATTTGTTGATATTACTACACCAGAAATTAGACAAAATACATGCACCATCAGTTTTGTCATTGCATCTGTAAGGAATAGCTATTATCAATTTCTCTATAATCCCGACTTTCATCGAAACATTGGAATGGTTAGTCTGATTTCAATGTTTATAGAGAAATTTATGAATAATTAACATTCAACCGGTGGTCATTCATCCTTTCGTTTTAGCTTTGTCGTGCTTTACCGACATAGATAAAACGACAAAGAGTTCATTCCATACCATACACAAAACAAGAACCAGTACAATTCAGATCCTCATGACTACGCGTATTGTGACATACGTTGAAAACAGGTGTCAGTAGTGAGAATACTACAGGTTTTACAGTTTCTACGATTGCGATCTACTTTACAACTGTTAAAACTGGTCGTATCAGCTCTTAGGTTCAACAGATGGGAAATCCAGTAAATACATTTTTTTAAATGTCTGTTGGTGAAGTTTAAACAATTCGAGATACCGAAATCGTGATCAAGGATTAAATTCCTTTACAGGTATTGTTAGGATTCGAGATAACGGATCTCGTCTGTTGGAAAGTTGTCTCATTGAAAGTCATATCATATCTATTTATTTAAAAAAATTAGCAAGTATACCATGCTTATAATTTGTTACATCAGACGCGCGTTTCGAGTACATCAAAATCATCAGTGGCGATCAAATCAAATACGTTACCACGAATTATAAAAATATGTGATAACGAATTTCATCCGTGGTTACGATTTATAAAAATCTGTGATAACGAATTTCATCCATTATCACGCATTACAATTTTTTTTATCTCAAATGCGTTATATCATAATTCAATCCATGGAAACTAATACAAATTCGTTGTAATACAATTCGTGATCACGATTTTTCCATATTCAAATCATATTTCTAAAGTCCTAAATTGTTCCGTACAAGTAATTCCATAGAAATCCCTCGGTTTTTTTTTTAACTTGTGAACTAATAAATGCAATTACGGAAGCCTATTTACGTTACAAAGCCTGTTGGATTTGATAGAAATTCAAATTAATAGTTGCTGAGTTATGGAAGATATAAATCGTCGAAACCGAGGCAATTTTTAATATATTCCATATTTACTCAAATATGCTATCAGAATTCTTTCTTAATTTAAACACAATGTTAGGTTTTATCAAGACAAGCTTACTTTCGATTTTAATGCTTTTCAGTTATGTCGTTCCATAGTAATGCGTCTTTATTCGTCAAAAGCAAGACCGGGAACTTTTTCATATTATTGGTGATAACAAAAGTTTGATTTCTCCGAATCACATGAAAGATTTTGACAAGGTCCCTTTTGATTTTTTATCAGGCTTTTCCATGTTCCATTGGACTTCCACGAAAAGTTGAAAAAACTGAAATTTTAGATTACAATCCGCCTTCTAAAAACTGGGTTAACAATGATCATATACTATCCTTGTTTTTTAAATTGACTCTCTGCCTAAAAATTGATTCTCTCAGGGAAAGTAGTACCCGAGCTAATAGTGATTTAATAGTTCAGTTAGGAAGCAAGGTAACGTGAAATTGAGTTCCTTTTTACATACTCAAAAACATCGGCTGTAATAATATTAATGGTACCACGTTTTACTGCACCAGATGCGCATTTCAACTATAAATGTCTGTTCAGTGATGATCAAGGCCAAAATATTTGAAAGTCAAAAACCTAATACAAATATTGAAAAGCTAATAAAACCAAAAAAAGACCGAAAGTGAAGCCAAACCTTTACAAGGAATCAGAGCTATGCATAAAGACGATACGTTCATTTATTTAAAATGATTTCGAACTTTTATAACAGCAAATTTAAACAGAACAATATCCGTATTTTCATGCCAGTACCATGTTGGTAACGTATCTTTTCCTATCTGAATGTGTATCATATCTAAATATGGATGACACTATCTCAAAGTTACGAATTTAATTATACAATTCCTAATAACGATTTTAGTCCGTAATCACGATTTAACAAATTTAATGATCTCGAATTCATATTATATTATTGGGAGGTCCTAAATGGGCTTCCGTAATTTTGCAACATATTATTGTTGTTTAAATACAAAAAGTTTGATGCAATATAGTAAATATGTAAGACAAGAGTTGTAATACACAACGTAATTTTATTAATATATAGAGAAGTTTGATAGCAAGTCTTCCATAATAAAAAATAAAGAACTTGTCTTGGGCAACAAACAGGGACAAAAAAGTACAACAAACTGCTTAACCTAGCAAAGTTAAATCATTTTTTTCAGTTGATATTTCTCAATTGTTAGGTTTTCATGTACTGTTGTGTTTTTTTTATCTCGTCGTCTTTGTAAATTTTCCCATATAGTTATCTGTCCTTCTTGGTATGACCACTATGACACATTCACAGGCACTTGTCTCTGAAAAAAATTTCCTATATACCTTAATATAACACAAGGTACTTAACTCTCATTTTTGAATTATAATTGTCCCTTTGGTATCTTTTTCTTCTCTTATACATATCTCGGTTTCCGAATGGTCAAATCTTATTGCTAAAAATTAATGTTTTTTGTAGTTATCTCAATTTTATATGTAAAGTCCAGAGAGAGTCTGAATGAAATTTATGGAATGGGAGAATTTGAGTCCAAAAATAGAAATTCGTAACTCATTAGACATACCTCAAATAACACTTATTAGATTTTGTTCACGGAATCTTTAAAAAAATTACTATCTGGATGATAAGTTCTATTCAGAGAAAAACTAACAGGTTTTTAGGAAATAATTTTTATAATTAACCATTTACTGCGAACCTTATATTTCCAAAGGGCTGTGAGAAGAAGAAATAATTACGATTGACATACTTGGGAGGCCTGCTACGAATGATTCCGACAACAAAGGAAGCGTGTCATACCCGAGGAATTGAAATATAACAAAAGTTCGCGACCGATAGTCATTTTCAAAAATGCGAGTTAATTTCCTTGTGTTATATTAAGGTATATAGGAAAAAAAAATTTCAGAGACAAGTGCCTGTGAACATAAGATCATGTAATTGTGCTAAAGCTAGGTTGCAATTTCCTTTGGTAAAGTAGATGTTTATCAATTTTGGTTGTTCTGTTAAGGTCCATTTTCTTTTGGTATCTTCTACCAATTAATATACTTGGCGTTCCAAACTTTGATATCGCTCGTATCCGATAATTTTTTTTTACGAAATATTTGTGCGCCTCCAAATAATAGCCTGATAAATTCAACAACACTTACCGTTATCTTGATGATATTTCTTCATTAAATAATCAAGAATTCTCTAAATACACTGTTGAAATTTACCCAAAGGAACTTACTTTAAATAAATCAAATATTAACAGCAATAACTGTCCTTTCCTAGATTTAGATATTTCAGTGTTACACCAGAAACTTTACACACAATTTTTTTCCCCTGTTGTTAATTTTCCTTTTTTGGACGGTGATGTTCCTTTTGCATCGTCTTACGGTATTTATATATTCCAACTCGTTCGCTATGCCCATGTCTGTAGTGACGTTTTAGATTTCAATGAGCATAATCTATGTATTACTAGTAAATTATTAAGTCAGGGATTTCGTTACCACACAATACTTAGAACCTTTACTAAATTCTTCCATAGATACGAATCTTTGGTTTGCATGTTTTGCTGTACCCGTAGAAAAATCATTTCAAACGGAATAGTACATCCTAAATTTTACGGTGATGTTGTTAACCGAGCCCGGAAATTTAGATACGATCCGGGTAAACTTAGCAATCCTTTAAATAAACTTATTCTAAAAGGTTACCAATTCAACACTGTAATTAAATCTTTGAATATTGTTTTTATTGGTATAAATATTGATTTTGTTATCAGTAAATTAAAACCATACTAAATAAGTATTGTTATACACGTATGTACTTTCACGGTACTACAATCCGTCGATACCTATATTTTTGCATTGCACAAGGTCATATTTTTCTCTGACTGTTAATGACGTCTTTACACTAAATCCATTGGATGCCAAGTTGGATGTGTACTGATTGATATTTTAGTCTTAGATACATGATTTTTTTTATTAGTTGCTATTGGCTTTGAACTAGCTGTCAGTAACTTCGAGTACTCTCAGATCTGTACTTAGTGTCTTTTTTGTTGTTAGGAATGAGGGATGGATAAATATCCTGCCACGCCCGGTCTGTGCTTTTGTTTGATGTTTTTCTGCTTTGTATCGATCAGATGATTTAAACCTTTTTCAACTGATTTTTATAGTTTATTGTTATGTTGTGCTGTTACACCACTGTCCCATGATAGGGTAGGGTTGAGCGCTCACAAACATGTTTAACTCCGCCACATTCTTTATGTGCCTGTCCCAAGTCAGGAACCTGTAGTTCAGTGGTTATCGTTGGTTCGAGTTTGTCATATATGTTTTTCGTAAATTGTTCTTTTTACATCGCAATGACCGTGAGGGCATTCCGATGTATTGCTATCGCCTAGATTTCCAAGAAAAACGTAACTTTCGTTTTGGGTTTGTAACCGATCTATAAACATGATAAATACGCGGATATTAACGAGTGCAAACTAATATTCCTTATCGTTTGTTATAAATACATCTCTTCAATGAATACTGATAAAAATATTTTTGTTTAGAACATAAATTAATAATATGAAAATGTTTTGTCGTTAGATATATAATATATATAAGTAAAAAATCATTAATAATATCTATGCACACGTACCGAAAAATTGTATTAAAGCATGCGGAAGAATATCTCAAGAACGTTTTGCGACAATCCCGGCAAGGACCGGTAACTCTGTAATTGTTTTTGCGGGAAAATATGAATGCTTACTCATATCCAATCTTTAGAAAAATCGAATTTTTACAGAAGAGTGTCCACCATGCACTTGCACTGCACTATTATTAGAATAGTATAATAGAATGATATACAAATGGATGAAAATTATATATATATGTAACTGTTATATTAATATAATATATAACAACAAACCAGTCTATACTGATTTGTATCACTACAATACAATAGTTATTACGGTGAGGTTAAATTCCCTGTCATTTATTCATTATCCACGCACGAACTTGTCTCAGAAAAAAAATATATCTCTGTACATTAACCTCAGTTTCAGGTATAGAGATGTGATTTTTTTCTGTGACAAGTGCTTGTGACCATCCACAAGAACTTGCGGTCCTCCGATGTTCAGTACTTCAGTACTTTGATTATAAATTAGTCCGTTAGTTTTCTCAATTGAATTGTTTCATATTTTTCATGTCGGGGCCTTTTATAGTCGACTATACGGTATGGGTTTTTCTCTTTGTTGAAGGCCGTACGGTTGCCTATAATTGCTTACATCCACTTCATTTGAACTTTGGTGGATAGTTGTCTCATTGGCAATCATACCACATCTCCTTATTTTTATATACACGATAAGACTTCTGGTGTTTTAAAAAAAAAAAAAAAACAATACTGTTTAATGTCTGACTGAAATGAAAATCTATGCTATGTTCGTGTATTAATAAACTTTCTATTACAGAGTCTAACCGTTAGTTTTCTCAATTGAAATGTTTCATATTTTTCATGTCGGGGCCTTTTATAGTCGACTATACGGTATGGGTTTTTCTCGTTGTTGAAGGCCGTACGGTTGCCTAAAATTGCTTACATCCACTTCATTTGAACTTTGGTGGAAAGTTGTCTCATCGGCAATCATACCACATCTCCTTATTTTTATATACACGATAGGACTTCTGGTGTTTTAAATAAAAAAAAACAATACTGTTTAATGTCTGACTGAAATGAAAATCTATGCTATGTTTGTGTATTAATAAACTTTCTATTACAGAGTCAAGGAATGTTCCCGTTAGAGAAGATCGAGGTATATATGATTTTGTTTTAAAAGTTGTAGATAATTCAAGTGACAAAAAATTAAACAGTGACACACCATTCATTAAAAATCTTTAAGGTAAAGCACAAATCAGAAATCAGAGGAAGACGCACAAAAACACAAAAGACACAATGTTAAGCAGTCTTGCATGACAAATTACTTTTGACTTCTGAACTGTTCGCTAACAGACATGCCTCGAAAAATCTATAAATATTAAAATTACTTAATATAACATTTTATAAATTTCGGTGCGTATGAAGCTCTTTTTTTTTAGATGTACCTTCATCACCCAGAATGTGAAAGTAAAAGGATGTATAAATACTTAAACACAAACACTTAAGGAGCTTTATTAAGCTATCATTAGCAACACATGTGGAAATGTTTGTCGATTTACCAAAGATAACGTATTGTTTCCAAGCAAACTAAAATATAATGATTTCTATACGAGTGGTTAATATAAGTTTGTTGTTCAAGGTCGAAAAAGGTTACTTGTTTGTATCCAAAACTTAGATCATCAATGAGTTCAGTTTCTTATCATCAACTTACCATGATTGAATTGTAACATATTTATATCTGCCAGCAACCTATGACAATTTCATATTTTATTTGATACGAAATGCAAATGTTTGTTCTAATTACTGTCATAAACAAACGAGTTATGATTTTAACCAGATGATGGTATAAAGCCTTCCAAACGAAGACTCATTAGACCACCTTAACTATACACCCCTAGTGACACATCCTATATATCATTCAATTCATCTTGACATGTCAAACAAGAGAAATATATGGTATCCCAACCATTTTCAAGATATTGAACATAAATAAATTGCAGATGGCGGATGACCCCTTTGGACATGTCAAGCAAAAAATATATAGTGTAAGGGTTATGGATTTCAAAAATTTGCAAAATATTTTGAACAGTTTCAATGGTGGAGGGCGGGAATGACTCACCCTATAATTCATGTAAGTAATCTTAACATGTAAAACATGAAAATATATAGTGAAGGGATGGTGATCGCAACCATTTGCAAGATATTTGACTTTTCTCAAATGACGGGGGTTGGGGATGACCCTTGGTGACTCACTTTATATTTCATTTGGTGTGTATTGCCTTGTAGAACATTGTCCAATAATTAGATTTTTTATACCGATTATGTGTAATTTAAAAGGTGACGATTAAGGTCAACAGTTAAGGTCACAGGTGACCATTGACCCTTTGGCCCTTAAGCAGGTCATATGATCATTACTAAAAACTCTGTGTCTTGCCCACTTGCTATTGTCAAGTTAAATTCACTTTAACATAAAAATTACAATGTTCAATAGAGTTCTCATTAGAAGAACTGAGTGAAAAACAATTTTTTCGAACTTTGTTTAGATTTGACTAGCGAAAAACATTGATTATGTAAAAATACCTGGCCATGAGAAATATGTAGGAACGATCATTTTAAATATGATTTCTGTTAAGGTCCATTTTCTTTTGGTATCTTCTACCAATTAATATACTTGGCGTTCCAAACTTTGATATCGCTCGTATCCGATAATTTTTTTTTACGAAATATTTGTGCGCCTCCAAATAATAGCCTGATAAATTCAACAACACTTACCGTTATATTGATGATATTTCTTCATTAAATAATCAAGAATTCTCTAAATACACTGTTGAAATTTACCCAAAGGAACTTACTTTAAATAAATCAAATATTAACAGCAATAACTGTCCTTTCCTAGATTTAGATATTTCAGTGTTACACCAGAAACTTTACACACAATTTTTTTCCCCTGTTGTTAATTTTCCTTTTTTGGACGGTGATGTTCCTTTTGCATCGTCTTACGGTATTTATATATTCCAACTCGTTCGCTATGCCCATGTCTGTAGTGACGTTTTAGATTTCAATGAGCGTAATCTATGTATTACTAGTAAATTATTAAGTCAGGGATTTCGTTACCACAAAATACTTAGAACCTTTACTAAATTCTTCCATAGATACGAATCTTTGGTTTGCATGTTTTGCTGTACCCGTAGAAAAATCATTTCAAACGGAATAGTACATCCTAAATTTTACGGTGATGTTGTTAACCGAGCCCGGAAATTTAGATACGATCCGGGTAAACTTAGCAATCCTTTAAATAAACTTATTCTAAAAGGTTACCAATTCAACACTGTAATTAAATCTTTGAATATTGTTTTTATTGGTATAAATATTGATTTTGTTATCAGTAAATTAAAACCATACTAAATAAGTATTGTTATACACGTATGTACTTTCACGGTACTACAATCCGTCGATACCTATATTTTTGCATTGCACAAGGTCATATTTTTCTCTGACTGTTAATGACGTCTTTACACTAAATCCATTGGATGCCAAGTTGGATGTGTACTGATTGATATTTTAGTCTTAGATACATGACTATAATATGTAGGAACGATCATTTTAAATATGATTTCTGTTTTAGGTGAAGGCTTTGGTCTTAATGGTATTAAAGACCCAGACGAGTCCAACGAGGATATTTAATTACAAATCTTTCATAGGACTATTATATATAGCATAAAAATACAAATATACATTTTTATTTGTCATGTTTACTTATGTGTGGAAATGTTTATATAGATCAATGATGCAGCAATAAACGACGGAAAAATAGACAGTCTTCAACAATAGACAAATAACACCGTATAACAAAATCTTATTATTTTATTTGAAATCCGACGGATACAGTCATGTACCACTGTTGTCATATAGCACCAAGAATGATTTTTCTTTTCTTGTTATTTCGTCACTCGTTGATGAGATAAGCTGTTTTTTTTTTTTAGTTTAAACAATATTTTATTTTTTAAAAAGTGCACTTAACAAAAATAAACAATAGAGATACAGGGATTCGGAAAAATAAACAATAGAAATACAGGGATTCGGAAAAATAAACAAAAGAAATACAGGGATTCGGAAACAAGAAAAACTTATATAAATCCGTCTCCCTTTGCAAGATAACAGCATTGGGAACTTTGTGTAAAGAAACTCGCTAAAATATATTTGAATTGAGTTAACACGTTTATTATGTGGTTTTCCAGTTAAACTCAGAAGTCAGTTTGATCTAATATAATATTTTAAAAATTATTGCAGTTGGCCAAGAGTAAGTTGCCGTTGAAGTCACCCATGACCACAATACTTTCTATACCGCTATTTACTGCGTTTTAGAATGATTTGTTTATATGATTTAAAATATGGTATGGTGAATCCGGAGGTCGGTAAATAGACCAAACAATACTTGCCGATCCTTAGCAACTACTTCAACCCATAAGCATCCAAGAGTAAGTTGCCGTTGAAGTCACGCAGGACCATAATACTTTCTATACCGCTATTTACTGCGTTTTAGAATGATTTGTTTATATGATTCAAAATATGGTACGGTGAATCCGGAGGTCGGTAAATAGACCAAACAATACTTACAGATCCTTAGCAACTACTTCAACCCATAAGCATCCAAGAATATATATTTCTAGATCATTGGTCACCCGATCCAATCCTATCATCTTCTCTGTCATTACGATATGGAGCCTTTAACGTTTTGATAATAAAACTGATTTGTCGGATATGTTCGGCTTTAACCAAGATTTTGTAACCATGATTATACCTCTATCTCCAAGCTCTGCCTAAAGTTTTGGCTTAACACTTTGAAAGTTAATTCAAGTAAATGTAATAAAATCTAAAATTCGAAACGGAATCAATAAGGCTAGCATCGTTTGTAATTGATGGCGAAAGGATTTGTTTCAATATCACCACGGATCAAAATAATGAAAACAACAATAACCATTATGTAACAAATAAACTCAGTTTTCACAAAAAGGTATCTCGATATGTCTTTATACACAGTTAGAGTTAAATCTGTACTTGGCAATGGTATATTGGAAACTTTTCTAATTCAAATAGTACAGTACATCATAAAGCTACATATCGTGATATCTAATAATTCGTATCTAAGCAATAGTAGTACAGAGTTGGTCTCGTGTAATATAACCCATCCTTTACTACTTAGTATTCTATAAGTAGTTTTAACAGAAGACATTAAGAATTACACCAAAACATAATACAACAGTATAAGGGTGGGGCTTCACCAATATAATAACCAAGATCAAACGGACATAAAGCATGACAATCCACATAACAGGCATATATAACACAACACAATACAATAAACAAAACTAGTTGAACGTACGTACATACATGCTATATATAAAACCAGGATTAATCCACCATTTTCTACATAAGGAAATGCCTGTACCAAGTCAGGAATATGAAGGTTATTATCCATTCGTTAACGGTGACGGTTTGATGTGCTTGAGCTTTTGATTTTGTCATTTGAAAAGGGATTTTCCGTTTTGAAATTTCCTTGGAGTTCGGTATTTTTGTTAATTCATTTTTATACACCAATTGTTCAAATGTTAGTTAATGCCTTCCAGTGTTTCTTTTATCTGAAAATTAAATTCGTATAATTATTTTTCTTAATGATTTCACAATTTATGTGGACAATACAAACAATTTTCATTTTAAATAAAAATCGACAAAATATTTAATGCCAGTGAAATAAATTAGCCCAAAAAAAAAAAATTTATGAAAAATTAATAAAAAATATATTGCAGCTAGGTTAATGGTTTCCTTCAAATAAAAAAGTTCTTAAGGAATGCTACAGTATCTATCGGCGTAATCTGTATTGAAATAATTTGATTTCATTTAGAAGAAGCATTCTATTTAAAGTGAACACAAGAATGTGTGTATTGCTCAATAAGAAATTCTACGTTTTAGCAGAACATAGAATTTTCAAAATCACCATCAATAATAAAAAAAAAATAATTTTTTAAACCAAACAAACAAAAAGCATCCTGCCATGACAATACTTGAAGTGGGAGACAGCTCTTGCATATGGGTCATTACTAGTGTCAACTACTAAAGAAGAAAATATGTACTATTCTTTTACGATTTAGTGCTGCTAAGAGTTTAATGTCAAAATGTGTCAAGTAATCAGAAGGATTGAAAAAATAAAATGAAAAAAATATTTTTTACAATATATCAAGTTACGGCATTTCAAATAGGCCCTATATTAGTGTAACATGTATTTCAAAAACACCAAATAATATTCTTTTAGTCTATCAAAACAATTATTATTTAAACAACTGACAAACTAGAGTGAACTGTTTGCTTGAAACAAAACCATCGAGATAGAATCAGTGATAGAAGCGCCCAGATTCTATCACTACTTCACCAGTTACAGGTCGGTTTCAGGTGTAGATTCATCGTCAGAGATGTCTGTGTCGATTTGGCATAACTCAACATCTTGGAGATTTCTATTTCATTCCGGATAACGTGTATAGTTTCTGATAGGTCATATACAAACATTTCACCTCTATCACAAAATTTGACTTGATTTTCTTCCTTCTGACTAATTGAATTGCTTCGTTAGCTAAACCGCTTCTTGATACGGTGAGATATTGGTTTATTGAGATACCTTGAAGATCAGGTCTATCTTTTAACTGTTTTGACGGCTTAAGGGGTTTGTTTTTTAGATTATGAATTGATATTCGAGCTATGAGCAGTCTAGATTCGCCTTTCCCTGTACGATGACTTATCATAGGTTCACTTGGCTGCATTTCAACACCCAATTATTTGGCGATTTCTATAATTTCTGTATCGGTATTTTCACCTGTAGAATAAGGTGCTCCACTAAACCTTACACACTGATTCCGGTTATGTTGTTACAGCTGATCACAACGAATTTTTCAGTAGTCGATTTGGTTTTTAATGTTTTTGACATCTTCTCCAGTCTAAAAAAAATCTAGGAAAATCGGAAAATTCTAATTCAAAGAGTTCAAAGAGGATAGATCTGTGCTTTTCTTCAATAAGTGCTTTGAATTCATCATTCATCATCACTAATGCTGACAGTTGGTTATTGATTTGTCGCTTCCATGCCGTCAAAAGATCTATAAAGGTCAGAACTCCTTGTACAATTTGTTTTTAGCAGTCAGTGTATTTTGAGGGGATGGTCTAGATGATATTCCGAGTCTTCGCTTTTTGACTATGGAGTTTGGCGATTGGACACCATCCCCTGTATTAATTCAAAATTTGGTGACTATGTTGAACACATATATCCCGTCGAACTTAAGATAAAAGATAAAACAGATACAGTTAAGTCTGCCTCATATCTTGACTTACATCTAGAAATTGACAATGAGGATTGGTTGTAAACAAAACTTTACGACAAAAGAGAAGATTTCAGCTTCCCAAATGGGAACATTTCATTTCTATGTAGCAACATTCCAGCAGCGCCTGCATATATCTCCAAGTTGATACGATATTCCAGGGCTTGTATTTCCTATCATGATTTCCTTGACAGAGGGTTGTTGCTCGCAAGGAAGCTATTAAACCAAGAGTTCCAAGTGGTGAGGTTGAAATCATCCCTTCGTAAATTTTATGGACGCCATCACGAGTTGGTTGACCGTTATGGAATATCTGTTTCACAGATGACAACGGATAGGTTCCAATTGTCGTAACTACAATCCTGTCCCCTTTTCCCCGAATGTGACCTACCGAATTAGATTTATTACCGGGTTTGTACTATTATGAGCAACAAGACGACGGATGTTACATGTGGAGCAGGATCTGCTTACCCTTTCGGAGCACCTGAGATCACCCCCAGTTTTTGGTGTGGTTCGTGTTGCACAGTCTTTAGTTTTCTATGTTGTGTTTTGTGCACTGTTGTTTGTCTTTTGGTCTTTTTCTTTTTTAGCCATGGCGTTGTCAGTTTATTTTCGACTTATGCGTTTGAATGTCCCTTTGGTATCTTTCAATTTTAAATGTGTTTGGTTTCTTCAGAAATATTGGACACAAATATATTGAACGTCAAGTTTTGTTCTCAAAAACTGCCACTCGAGTAATATAGTTCATATCACTATCTGGTGTTTGTTTGCATTGTAACGGTGTACTCGAATGTTACTATTGAAACATTCAATGACACATCTTAAATGTTTCAAATGATTCAAAAAATTAAGTGTCCGTACTGTAGAAACACTGATCGAAATAAAGACACTGAAGCATGTTCAAGTCACGCCTGTATGCTGCTTTTCTAAGAAAATCCCATATTCGTATCATAGATTAAGGTTTATGACCCCTTCTGTGGCCTGTGAATTATGAACTTTTCAAATTGCAATAGCATCTAAACAGCAAATATAATGAATAATAAAGATGGGTCATTTTGTACATATACCGAGGGGAAACTTCGTGCAAAGCATAATTATTTATAGTTTCATTGTATTTAATAGAAAAGGGGAATTTGGTGAAAATAAAATCAAGAATTTTGTAGAAAATCCACAGACTTTTATACAGAGATTTTTGTTATAATATTTGAAACATAGTTTACTCACTTGTTTTTCAATGATCAGCTAGCGTTTATTGTTTACAAAAAGTCATAAACAACCTTTAAATCCCAAAACACCTCGTGCTGAGTCACTAAAATCGAGCGCACCCTAGAAGGTGTACTTGAATTGGTCCATATTTTTATTTATTTTAACCAATATCTAAATGTATAAACTTGTTTTAAGGAAATCATTGCTAGCACTGCATGCAATAATCCTCTATCTAT